AAATCAATCTTGAAAAGAAAAAAAGAAAAGGCAATAAACAGATAAAAATATGACTAAAATACAAATGGACAGATCATAGAACTGGAAAGGAAATGTTTTTTAAACATATAATTAATAACAATACAATAAATTGAAACCCTAATGGAGTAGGTTATTATCAGAATGCACAAAGGCATACCAACAGACTGCAGTTATTTACAGGGAAGCCAAATTTCACAGGTTGAGGACACAGTCACCCATACACCTCCCCTCCCCCGAGACACCTGCACGGCCACTCTCACATCCGACCAGCTGCCTGCAAGTTAGGGCTTTCCACAGTCCCTTCAGATTTGTTAATTTGCTAGAATGATTCACAAGAATTCAATAAATGCTATGCATCCACTTATAATTTATTATAGCAAAAGTTTATTTATCAGAATAGTCAACAGGAAGCATGAATAATAACCTGAAGTCTGAGATCATCTTAAACACAGAGTTTCTGTGTTCTTGGGGACACATCCCTTCTTAAAGCTTCGATTGATGACAACACAGAGTATCCCAACCAGGGGAGTGCGAACTGAGTCTCGGGCCGGAGTTACACTGAGGGTTCATTATGCAGACACGACTGATTGAATCAAGGTCTGTAAGGTTGAGCACCCTCTTCCTCAGAAGTTGAACTGATGTGACATTTCGGGATTCAAAAGTCCCAACTGTTTAACCAAATGGTTCATCGATCTTTCTGGTGTGGTCAGCCTCCATCTTGTGTCATCTCGATAATGTAATGTAGTCATCAGCGCCTACACTCAATAACAATGACCTTTCTAGCACTTAGAAAATGCCAAGGATTTGGAACTTGGGAACCGGGGTAGAAGTTCAGCATCCTGGGAAGAGTGATAAAAGCAAATTCTTGATTATATAACCTAAATTTCAGCCTTCTCTTAAATGTACTTTTTAAAATTCATTTTTAAAGAGTTACTTATTTTTATTGGATAGGCAGATTTACAGAAAGAAAGAAATACAGAGAAAGATCTTCCGTCCACTGGTTCACTCCCCAAGTGGCCACACAGGCCAGAGCTGAGCTGGTCCAAAGCCAGAAGCCAGGCATCTCTTCTGAGTCTCTCTTGCAGGTGCAAGGTGCCAAGGCCCTGGGCCATCCTCACTGCTTTCTCAGGACAGAGACAGGGGGCTACATTGGAAGTGGAGCAGCCGGGACATGAACCAGCACCCATGTAGGATCCCAGCACATGCAAGGTGAGGATTTAGCTACTGAACCATCACGCCAAGCTCAACCTTGTCTTATAAATGTTAAGACCAGAAAGCAAAAATGTCCAGTAACAGAAATGTCAAAAAAAAAAAAAAAGCCTTTTTAACTAAGCTCATTCCATGTAATAGATGAGAAAGAATGAGGCAATTCTGTAGGTAAGGCTACAGAAAAAATTGCCATATAGACAAAGCAACCTGCATGGTATGCTATGATTTGTTCGTAGTTATGTTCATTGGCATATGCTTAGGGCAAACTCTAGAAAGAAAACTGACAGGTTGGATGGAGAAAAAAGGAAATGAAGAATATGTTCAACTTTTTCTTAAAAGATTTATTTTTATTGGAAAGTCAGATATACAGAGGAGGAGAGACAGAGAGGAAGATCTTCTGTCCGGTGGTTCACTCCCCAAGTGGCCGCAACAACTGGAGCTGAGCCAATCTGCAGTCAGGAGCCGGGAGCTTCCTCTGGGTCTCCCACGTGGATGCAGGGTCCCAAGGCTTTGGGTCGTCCTCAAGTGCTTTATCCAGGCCACAAGCAGGTAGTTGGATGAGAAGCAGGGCCGCCAGGATTAGAACTGGTGCCCATATGGGATTCTGGTGTGTGCAAGTCAAGGGCTTTAACCACTATGCTATCATGCTGAGCCTAATTTATTTATTTTTATTGCAAAGTCAGGTAATATATAGAGAGAGGAGAGAGAGATGAAGACCTTCCATCTGATGATTCACTCCCCAAGTGACCACAAGTGCCAGAGCTGAGCTGATTCGAAGTCAGGAGCCCAGAGCTTTTCTTGTTCTTCCATGCCGGTGCAGCGTCCCAAGGTCCCAAGGCTCTGGGCCATCCTTAACTGCTTTCCCAGCCACAAGCAGGGAGCTGGATGGGAAGCAGGGCTGCTGGGATTAGAACCAGTGCCCATATGGGACCCCAGCGCATTTCAAGATGAGGACTTTAGCCGCTAGGCTACTGTGCCAGGCCCTGTTCAATCTTTTTTAACCTTATGTGTTGTGTATAATGTGCATGTAAATACAATATAGTAAGACTGGGATAAGTAGCAGACCAGTTAGGATGGAAAGTAGCTTTAGATAGGATGGTGGTATTTGTTCAGTACCTGATCAGAAAGGAAACCAGTGGAGTCTCTCTCCCTGGTCCCTATCCACCTACCCTTCCACATTGGGGGTCCAAGGGATCTGCCAGGGTGCCCAGAACCCACCAGTCTCCACTGAGCAGGATTTAAGAGGATGGGCAGAAGCCCACGCAGGTCTGTTTCCAATGCCCCCATCCAAATGAGGACAGTGTGCTGCAGAAGCTGCCACTAGTCACAGGACAACACATCCCTGGCTCAGAAGCTAGAGCGAGTGGGGACAGGTGATGTGGCAGGAGCTGGAGTTCCTGCCGTTCTGGCCATTGTCCTCAAGTTCGAGATAAACCAACACACACACACCCACATAGTGGAGTTGCAATAGTGCCTCATGACTTGCTTGGGCCTTGAAATTAAAAAGGATTCTGCATCTGGCTGCTCCTTTGCTCTCTGCTTTATACATCTTCCACCAAACATTTCTTGTGCCCAGGAAGCATGCAGGGAGAGGGATTCCGGGGAAGCTGTCTCCAGCTCTCCTGGACTGGCACCATGGAAATCTGCCACAGATGGTCTGAGGTCTCTGACAGACATCTGAATGGAGAATGCAAAGGATGAAGACTTGGCCATGCAATCATGCCAAGACCTGGGAGAGAATTTCCAGGCAGAGGAAATGCATCCTGCCAAGGCTCTGAGGCAGTGATATAAGCTAGGTAATTTTTCGGTAAAGAAAGGGTAATGAGGCCAGTTGCATGGTGGAAAGAACGGTACAAGTGGTGTAACTGTTGTAAGACATGGCAAGGAGTAAATCTTGTTTTATACGAGCAACAGGAGGCAAATGGGCTTTTGTTAGGGGAGCAGTTTGATGTGATTTCGATCTGTAAACTTTTGATTTGGAAATACCTTCATTTACAAAAAAACACAAGGAATTCCCGTATGCCCCTGGTTCAGAGGGCTGTGCTGCATGCGGAGTGGAGAATGCTGGCATGGGTACAGCTGCTTCTCTCCACTGCCCCGGGGCTGTGGCATTCCTACAGCAGTGGTGACCCATAGGCTGTGCAGGCACCTGCCCGAGTGTGCAGGTAGCAAGATTAGGCAAGACTTCCTGCCAGGGCACAGGTTACATTGCTTCTCTATGGATGTTAAAATCTCATATGAAAATTGGAGCAATTTTAGTCTCAATTTACAAACTCACATTGGATGAAAAAGCTGTAATTTCTTCAGATCAGTCCTCCAATGGATTAATTCATCTGTGCTATCAACCGCCCTCCCAAATGCCCCTCAATTATTTGACACCGGAGAAATATTTAACCTATCTTTCACAAATAATGCCTGATTTCCAAGGAAATTCCAGAGCATGATAGGTCCCCTAAGGGGAAGCGCCGAAGGGGCCCTCACTCATGTTGATGTACGGGTGCCAATCATATTACCGTACAGTTGACCTTAGATTTATGTAACTTTCATTTTCATTAGACTTGGCTTACTTTTAGATTGTGAAAATTCTCCCCAAAGCCAGGTCTTCTGCCTGAATCAACTAACTCCTTCTGCTAAAAATACTGCTTGGCTGAAGGCCAGGTTCAAAGGCTGAAGTGTGCTGTGGTCTTGAGGGTTTCAACACAACTCCAGGTTCGAGGTGCACATCCTCAGGCGACACTAACCATGGACAGCGCTGTGGTTCGAATGTTCCAGAGGCCCAGTCACTAAAAGCTTGGGCCGAAGTGATTTAGTGGGACCTAGTGAAAGGTCCAACTAAGGAGATATGCACACTAGCCTGGCAGAATGTGGGGGTTCCCACGAGTGTTGGCGGCTAGAACATGAGGATACCCCTCGAGCTCAGCTCCTGCTCGGATGGTTGTCCCTCTTCCCACCTCTCCACTAGGACCCCAGCCAGCGAGACTGAGCAGAGGCCCAACACGGGAGACTTCCCAGGCCATACACAATGATCAACTTAAGGATTAGCCTACAGTTGATTTATTGATTAGTCCTGCCTATAGTTGCCTTGGCAGGGCAAGACTTACCTGGCCTGCAGACTGCCTCCGTGGAATCATTCAGTCTTTGTTATATGCAGTTAACAGGAGCTTTTTGTTCTGTGGAAGGACTCGGTGATAAAAGATGAAAGGCCTGTTGCGTAGGAGGCATTCATAATGGTCGATGTTTTCATATTTCTTAAGGACAGAAAAAAACTCTTATAAAGAAAAATGAGTACTAGACCTTTTATCTTAAGAAAAACTGTGACAACAGATCTTTAAAATATTGCTGAACAGAGAAATAAAAGCAGAACATTTTTAAAAATCTTTAATTAGGGTTCACAGTATACACTTGTCTGTGATCTGCAGTGATGAATATTGATGGAAACATCTAGAAAGGAAATAAGCAGATACTGTCTCGTGACTTAGGAAGCAGAACTTCTATCCTTGATAACTGATCATGAACAGTTCACTATATTTAATGACAACTATTTGCCTTCACTTAATAATGGCATTTGAGTAACAAAATAAATTATCAGCAATTTCAACCACACATTAAAATATAATTCAAGTAAAAAAAACTTTTAGCTTTCATAAATGCACACATGGGATTAAATTCTATGTATGTTGATGACTGTGACTGTTACTTATGGAAAATAATACAAAAACTATTTCCTTTTCATTGCTGAAAGTTCAGAAAGTATCCAAAGGCTTTTTCTCTTTTGGAGCTTTACTAGCTGCACCTCAGTTGAACATAACAGACAGGAGCAGGGGTGACTGGTGAGCTAGGTTAAAGATACTGGCTGTGACCACCGAGCACACAGGCAGAGCGAAGCCTTCCTCCGATGGTCGGGCCCCTGCTGACCACACGATGGACAAAGCGGCAGAGCAATGACTGAGCCGGCTGAGCTCCGAGACGGTGCCATTTTGCTAGTCACTAGTGCACACATTTTGCCTTTAATCTGAAGCAAGATGCTGTTCATTTCCAATGAGTCAGAGCGGAAGCAGAAAGCAAAGACAAAGGCATAGAGACTCTGAAATCGTACTACCTTAAGTCTTTAAAAGTGCAATAGCTGGGTCCCTGCACTGTTTCCTACTTAGAAATGTGTAAGCAGATGAAAACTATTTTCAAAATAAGCCAAAGGTAAAAAAAAAAAAAAATGGAAAGGCCGGAACAATCTTACAAACAGCAACAAGATGACTGCCAGTCTGCGATTGCCGATGCGATGTGCACACACCCATTCCGCAGTTCTTCACCCGTCACTGACGGAGCACTCTCTAGTGAGCACACTCAGTGGCGGGTCAGTAATGGGCACTCTTCTTCTCTTTCTTTCTCTCCCTCTCACCACACACACACACACACACACACACACACACACACAAATATAGCTTTATTACAAAGGATTCAAGATGGCAACTACTTAAAACCCAGTGCCAACACGGATTATAACAAATCCAGTGAGTATTTTGTTTTTCAATTATTCATAGGAAATTTAATCCTGATTAAGCATCCTTGGGCAGGAATTCACGGGTAGTTGAAGACCGAAACCAACATTTATGTGAAATGGTTCTGTTAATTTAATCTCTGTATACGGCTTAATTATGACTGGGGATTCAATGTAAGAGAAATGAATTATATTGGGATTAAAATTTTAGTGCCATATCACACAGTACTTTTTCCTTCCTTCTTTTTTAAGCACAAAAATCCACTTGCCCCCTTACCTAAGTGTTTGGATTTTAAAATCCCTTTTCTTTACAACCCATGTAATATATCTGTTTTATTTTTCATGAGCTATTTGTCAGAAACACTTGATGATCAAGCAAAAACTTGAAATAGAGCCCATGAAGATAAAAAAAATTGAAAATAACCCCTCCCATAAAAAACAAATATCTAATCATTAATATCCTCAAGAAATTTCAATTTCAGTTCCTTCAAAGTCCAATAAGAAATGGATTTTCCTTACAGCATAGGAAAGAAGCAGTCTTTAAAATCAGTCTCGCACACTGATTTCATAACTGGGTCAGCTTAGATATGTTTATGACTTTGTACAAGACTACCACACCTGAGTTTCCTGTGGGTGTAAGACGAGGCATTGTAAGTGGTGACTTACCATCATGTCCTATAATCCTCTCTCCTATTTATTTCCACACGGAAATGGTTTCAATCACCTTAAAGCAACAGTACTTCCTACAAGTTTATTGTTTACAGATATTTCAAACCCCGTTTTTCAGTTTGGGGACTGCTTAAATGCAGTCACATAAATAATACGATCTGCCTCTGCTGCACAACTTTTCACACCAAATGTATGAAAAACAAAGTCACTGTATCTGGGTCCTTATTGCACTGCCGTAAGCAACTCATTTTGCTTTTCCGCAGAAATCAAGTATCAGAAATGAGGGCGGCTTTTGTGTCCAGATGCTACGGTCAGCGGTAGTGTGACCGAGGAGAGTGAAGAAACTTCCCAGTACAGACTGTGCGACAGAAAGAGTCTGTAGAGAATTACCATGGCAACAGCCTGGCAAAGGATAACACCTATGGTGACAACCTGAAAGGAGAAGAAAGGGGATGCTTTAACCGCACGCAGAAACAGAGGGATTATAGTCCATTTCTCATGAGCCTATGTGTTTTTCCATAGAGCCAGGACTCCACCCTTCCATTCACCAGGGTTCAGATGATTAAAGAAACCAAAGTAGGAGAACTGATTAAAATGGTTAAAACTGCCACTGCTCGTGGCTCACATTCCGCTAATAGTTTATATAGAAGCCCAAGAGAAATGCAAGCATGCATTAGTCTCAGTGATAACACAAATAAGGATGCTGGCTGGCTCAGTCTCGGGAAGCAGGAAGGCATACCCCTGCCCAAAACTAGCAGTACCCTGCACACTCTTCCAGAAGCCCTCGAGTGCTTTCTGTTTGTGTGGACAATCTGCCGCTTGCCCTTCGTAAATTGCTGGGCCCCATCACACTGTGTGCACTGCTCACTGGGCTCCTGGCAGAACTCCCCTCCCAGGGATAGAGCTGGTACCCTGAGCAGGTGGAGGTCCAGACCCACAGCGTGGCAGACTTGAGCCTCATACCTGCTCTACAAAAGCACCTCAACTGATCTTTCAAACACTGTTGATCATGTGGCAAAAAAAAATTTTTTTAATTACTTTTTCTTAGCAAAAGCATGTTATACATTCTACAATTTGCTTGATAAAAGTGTTCTAAAACAGGCTAAAATAAGAACAAAATCATTTCAATCATTCAGTTTATAGACAAAATTTAAACAATATTTTTAACCATTTAAACTTCTAGTGTATATAGTCTCCAGCTAAAGACTTTGCTTCAAAAATGTGATAAGCTGGGCTTGGCACAGTAGCCTAGTGCCTAATGTCTTCACCTTGCATGTGCTGGGATCCCACATGGGCGCCAGTTCGTATATCAGCTGCTCCACTTCCCTTCCAGCTTCCTGCTTGTATCCTGGGAAAGCAGCTGAGGACAGCCCAGAGCCTTGGGACCCTGCACCCACATGGGAGACCCAGAGCAGGCTCCTGGCTCCTGGCTGTTGATTGGCTCCACTCTGGCCTTTGCGGTCACTTGGGGAGTGAACCAGCAAATGAAAAATCTTTCTCTTTCCTTCGCTTTGTAAATCTGACTTTCTAATAATAAATAATCTTAAAAAAAAAAAAACCTCTAAGCTTTCAGATAGGCCCCCACTTCAATATTTTGCCAAGAAAAACTATATTTTCATAAAAACTTTTAGATCGCATATATATTACTTACCTTATCTCTTTGGTAGTCATTAAAAATGACAGAAATGCATGCAAAACTTGGATGACACAAAAACCACAAGATACAGCCCTGAAACAAATGCATAAGAAACCAAGTCAGTACAGCTGTGCCTTTATTGCTAGAATGTAGCAGAGGAAAACACTACTAAGTGTACTGGTAAAATGATCTCAATTAGCCATCAGAGTCGGGCTTACAAAAAAAGGAAAAATACATTTCTTGTTGCTGAAACATTAATATGTTCTTTCTGACCAAACGAGGGTTTTCTGAGTATTTACAAACTTGCATTTGTACACGTGTCTTGGTAAACTATAAGGCACACAGATTAAGGAGAGTAAGAAACTGATCATTGAGAGGGGCAAGATGCAAACACATAATAAAACTGTAAGAAGAAAGAGATGCACAGTGTATTTGCATAAAGACTCACAAAGAGCTGCTGCAAGAAAACACAAAGTCACGGGCTAGCAGGGGCTACCTGCCGAGGGGCTCACGGGGGTGGGCTGAGCAGGCAAGCAGGGGCTACCTGCCGGAGGGGCTCACGGGGGTGGGCTGAGCAGGCTAGCAGGGGCTACCTGCCGGAGGGGCTCACGGGGGTGGGCTGAGCAGGCAAGCAGGGGCTACCTGCCGGGGGGCTCACGGGGGGGGGGCTGAGCAGGCTAGCAGGGGCTACCTGCCGGAGGGGCCCACGGGGGTGGGCTGAGCAGGCAAGCAGGGGCACCAGCGCACACCATACTTGCCAAATACACCCTTGTCTTCCTCGAACCATGGCATGGTAGCATACTTTCTTTTGCATAATTTTATTCCAATAAAGAATCTGATAGTATCTACTGAGATGCTTGCTATAGGAAAGATTTAGGCAGGGATGCTGGGGGGACACTGAAAAACACGCTAACTACGCAGGAATATACATTAAACATCCTTTACAGGCTCCCAGCAGTGGAGAAAACCAAGCAGATGGACAAAGCTACTCTTTAAATACTTTAGGATGCTTGACCCTATTCATGAAGATAAAGTATCTAAGAACACCTTCTTATTTTAAAGCCTCAAATTATAAAAAAAGTTAGGTTCTGTTTTCAACACAAAACAAGAACAAAACCAGCTCAAAGGCACAAAGTTATCAAAGGATAAGCACTCGTGCCCCTGTCCAAAAGGCAAAAGGAAAATGGCACCTGCTCATCTGGCTGGGCCCCAGGCTGCTTCCAAGGGCTGTGGCGCAGCTCTGCGGGGCTCAGCAAGGCACAGGAGGAATGTGGCCCTCAGGTCCCTGCTGCCCAGGGTGGGCGATCTGAGCCCTGCTCTCAGCTGCCCAGCCGAAGGGGCACCATGAGGACATGCTCCGGGGGAGGCAAACCCGCTCCCCTGGGATGGAGTGGAGTCAGGGGTGGGAGGTGAGGGTAGGGGGGTGGCAAGTGCACACACACACACACACATATGCTGGCACTGCAGAATGGTCCACCTGTCACAGCGACACAACTGCAGACACTGCAGCCCGCACTCCACACCGGGGCAATTTTTCTTAAAAATTCTGAGGCCCTGGGGTGGGGGAGGGGGAACCCATAAACTCCAAATTGATAAAGACATGATGACCTAGGCAAAACTGACCTGCCAAAGCCTCCAACAACAAGGCCCGCATCACGTGCAGAGCAGATGTGAACACACACAGGGCTGAGAGCAGAGCCTGGCTCTCAAGAGAAGTGTGCGGAAGGTTAGCTAGGTTGCTTATGAACTACCCAGAGAGCAGCGCGCAGCGGCTCTCAGCAGCCAGCCCCCACAAGGCGTACTTTGGCAAATGTAATGTAGAACTCCCTTTTCAATGTGCTCCTCTCCACCATGATGATCTGATAGAGGCCACAGCCCAACGACAAGGCCAGGCAAACTTTCAAAATGAGCAGAAGGATCCCGGCTAAGTTGCGGTGTGAGTGGGAGCTGTGATGACCGGTACCTTCAAACTGCTCCCAAAGTAGCAACACACTCTGCAAAAGAAAAAACAAAGCAAAAAACAGAAACACCACAGTGAGAGAACAAGATCCAGGTCTGCTTGCAAGAGTACCTTTAGCACACAGCCTTTTGTGAATGTGCTCTTCAACACAACACACAGATTCCTAAGACGCTCTAAGACTCAGCCGACTCTGAACACCAATTAAGAAGTGCAGGCGCAGTCTTCTCCATGCTCTGATACCCTAAGCTGGAGAACAGGGAATTTTATCAAGTGAGACCCACACTGGAAAGATTTTTTAAAATGCTACTGCTATAACGATTCAACTAAGACACCTGCAAGGATAAAGATAAATTGCAAAGGTTAAGAAAACCTCTAATACTGCTTCAAAATCCTTTTCACTTCAACACCATGATTAGAAATCAAACTGCTCTGCATTTAGGCCTACCATCTCAGGGCAACTTGCAAAGACCCCAGCTTTCCTTTGTAAGCCAGCAGTTAACAAGTCAGAACTGCTGCCTTCACACCTCACTCACGGTAACTCCCCTCGGGAAAGGCGTTTGAAATACTCCTTTCAAGGAGCTGGTGCTGTGACGTAGCACTTTGGATCAATGCCTGAGATGTTGTCATCCCATGTGGGCACCAGTTCAAGTCCTAGCTGCTGCACTTTCCATCCGGCTCCACATTTATGTGCCTGGGAACGCAGAGGTGACCCGAGTGCCTGGGCGGACCGGGATGGAGTTCCAGGCTCCTGGCTTTGGCTTAGGCCAGCTCTGGCCCTGGCCACTGTGGCCAATTGGGAAGTGAATCAGATGGAAGACCTCTCTGTAACTCTGTCTTTTGTATAAATACATACATAAATTTTATTGAAGGAGTAGAGACAGAGGGAAAGATCTTCCATCTGCTGGTTCATTCCCCAAGTGGCTACGACAAGCGGAGCTGAGCTGATCCGAAGCTAGGAGCCAGGAGCTTCTTCTGGATACCCCACAAAAGTGCAGGATCCCAAGGCTTTGGGCCATCTTCAACTGTTTTCCCAGGTCTGGATGGGAAGAGGATCAGTCGGGACACAAACTGACAACCACACGGATTCCAGTGCTTACAGGTGGAGGATTAGCTAGTTGAGCTATTGCACCAGGCCCAATAAAATTTTTTTCTATAAATGCAAAATAAATAAATATTCACCTTAATGGCTCAGGACATTGTTACTCTTCCTTGCTTATCTTTTCTCCTCTTTTGTTTTGTCTGGATAAAAAGCTCATCAAGTTCTCGGTAAGCTGCTCTGTTTAATGCTGCGCAGCAGAAATCAATGTCCATGTTCTCCTCATTCTTACCAAATTACTACGATGTTTTACCTTCAAACGTGTAAAAAAAAAATGGGTGTATCCTTGGGACTTCCGTTGTCCATTCCACTCTCACAACTGAGGCATTGCAGTGACATCCAAAGACCAGCTCGGAAGTCAGTGTTCAGCAATTCTTCAACTTCCAGTGTCCTGAGAGCCTCGTCCTCCCTGCGCAGTCACACCTGCCACTCAGACTGCACGCCACCCAGCACCGACAGGTGACCTCCATCCCGCACCTCAGACTGCACGCCTCCCAGCACCGACAGGTGACCTCCATCCCGCACCTCAGACTGCACGCCTCCCAGCACCGACAGGTGACCTCCATCCCGCACCTCAGACTGCACGCCTCCCAGCACCGACAGGTGACCTCCATCCCGCACCTGAGACTGCACGCCTCCCAGCACCGACAGGTGACCTCCATCCCGCACCTGAGACTGCACCCCTCCCAGCACCGACAGGTGACCTCCATCATCCCGCACCTGAAACTGCACCCCTCCCAGCACTGACAGGTGACCTCCATCATCCCGCACCTGAGACTGCACCCCTCCCAGCACTGACAGGTGACCTCCATCATCCCGCACCTGAGACTGCACCCCTCCCAGCACTGACAGGTGACCTCCATCATCCCGCACCTCAGACTGCACGCCTCCCAGCACTGACAGGTGACCTCCATCCCGCACCTCAGACTGCACGCCTCCCAGCACTGACAGGTGACCTCCATCCCGCACCTGAGACTGCACGCCTCCCAGCACTGACAGGTGACCTCCATCATCCCGCACAGGCAACGTGTTCTTTGGGCTCCATATGTATTGCAAATGTTGTTCTGTTTCCACCAGCTTATGCCCCCCTGACTCCTTACCCTGTGTTTTTACAACAAAGAGGCGGGAATATAGAACTCCCAAGGCCCAGGAGTCACACTGTTACACGTTAGAACTTTCTCTTTTCCTATGCATATGCTAACATACATTACATATTCATGTGCTCTTTGCTAGTTTTTCTCAGACACCGTTTCTGAGCTATAGTTTAATATATTCTTCTAAAGGTGCACAAGTTTTGTGGTGTCACAGTCTCAGTTTGTATTATTTTGTGATAATGAATTAAAATTCTAATGAATGATGCTGGCAGTTGAATTTTTAAAATAATTGCAAACTGAGAAATGAGAATTTCAAGTGGTAGTCACATTGCACTCCTTGAATCCTCAATCAAAACCATTAAGTTAGATCTTGCCCTTGTTGTAAGCGCGTCTAATCTCATGGTTTTCTTCAGCCCCTTTCTGGCGCTTTCTTCTTTCTCGGTATCGTTGCCTGTGACAGGACTGCTTTCCCGAATCAATCCTGCACGTTCAAATGCTCGTACTTCACTGAGCACCTGCAGGACTAGACGGACACTAGGAGCATGCAAACATGCAAACATGCAAACATGAACAAAGCGCTTGTCCCGCTCCTCATTAGCCAATTTGACTTCAGGCACTAAAACTTAGATTACGATTTCTTTCAGAGCCCAGGTGCATTTTCAACGACAGCAAACGCTAGTTAAAGACTGCATAAATCTTTGTGGTCAAAGTTTTCTTTCTTGTTTCACAAGGAAGCCAGATCCCATTCTTTTTTCGTCCATAATTTGTCTTTTAATTCATCTCACACAATGACTCAAATTCTTGTATGTCTAGACGATCCTGAAGATCATTTCCAATGGCTGTATCTCAAATTCACTAATTCATTCATTCAGTGTTCACTACCACATGCTAGAAAATAGATAAGCAGGGCCTGGCAGGGTAGCCTAGCTGCTAAAGTCCTCAACTTGCACATGCCTGGATCCCATATGGGTGCTGGTTCTAATCCTGGTGGCCCTGTATCCCATCTAGCTCCCTGCCTGTGGCTTAAAAAAGCAGTCAAGATGGACCAAAGCCTTGGGACCCTGCACCCGCTTGGGAGACCTGGAAGAAGCTCCGGGCTCCTGGCTTTGGATTGACTAAGCTCCAGCTATTGTGGCTACTTGGGGAGCTAATCATCAGACGGAAGATCTTCTTTGTCTTTCCTCCTCTCTGTATATCTGACTTTCCAATAAAAATAAATAAATCTTAAAAAAAAGAAGAAAATAGGCAAGCAAATGCTTCAAACCTAACATGTACTTCAAACCTGAAGTAGCTGAAAAGTTGGCAGGCAGTGTGTGCTCGGCAGAGCGGTCATGGTATTACCTGTGACCTGCTTCCCGGGTTGTGGTGCGTGGATTGAGGTCCTGGCTCCTGTTTGGATTCTACGCTTCCATTTATGCACGCCCTGGAGGCAGCAGGTGATGTGTTTGGGTCCCTGTCACTCAAGCGGGAGACCCAGACCGAGTTCCCAACTCCTGGCTCCAGCCATCTCCAGGCCCAGTCCCAACTGTGGTGACCATCTAGGGAGTGGACCAACGGACCAGCACATGGAAGATCTCTCTCGGAAATGAAACAAAACACGGCTAGGGAGCTCTAACCCGGACCAATTCTGATCACATTCCGCGGTGCTCATATATTAGCACACAAAAGATTCCACAAGCCACGTGCTCGGTTACCCTTTAGATTCAGCTTTCAAAATAACCTGGGTTCCTTGGGGGTCTCTGTTATGCTGCAGTGTGCATTTTGACTCTTACCACGCAGGAACCCCGGGTTACCGACACGCACCTGTGTCAGGACAATGACCACAGCAGTGCCAGTGGACGCGGGGGTGGAGTCCCACTGGAGCGGCCTACTCTGGGCCTTCTTCATCCTCACGATGGTCCAGCCCATGCAAAGACTCAGAAGCAGGTACAGCATCTGGATCTGGGAAGCGATGTCAAAAACTGCAGGGAAATCAAGATCACAATCAATCAAAATGCTGGACTGCAGATGATTCGGCACTTGCTGCACTGCTGCAACGACAATACCATCTTTTTTTTAAAATTTTTTTGGTCCCCCAAAAGATGAACTTCTTTAAGGAAAATCAGAAGAAATTCAATGAGAAATTTTCAGGTGCCAATTTTATTTATTTTTACCCCAGCTTAATTTTTAAAATAGTAATTAGTTTTTAACATTCAAAATAGTTCACAGATCTAATTCTCACAATGTAATGATGTTCCCTTCCTCTCTCCTTCCCTCGCACTTTCTCTCATATTTCTTTCATTTTTAAGACAACATATTTACATTTTCATGGGCAATTTTAGAGGATTAAAATTTTGACATAAAACTTGTGTGAATTAAAGTACTTTGATAGAAACTCTACTTTAAGATCCACATATATGCTCATTTATCAGATCTTTTTAGGTCTGCCTTTAAACATCTTTGCTTCTTTTCTATAATTCACTCCTTAATGAAAGAAACAGATTTTAAATATCACTTTCACAATCTGAAGGACACGCTTGCTGTCTTTCCTGGGTTGTTCCTAAGCAGGGATTTCCACAACCACTACGCAGAAGCAACCTGACAGCACAGCCCCTGTAACACCCGATGACGTGCGGCTTTGACGTCAGAGTCCCAAGACAAGCCAGTAGTTACAAGCATCAGTGTGATGCGCCACCAGGTGGCCGGCGCTTGCACTGCAGGGGCAGCCTGCTGCTTGAAGGCAAGGGGCAGCCCAGCCATCTGTACACTACTACCAGAACACCTTAAATGCTTCAAGTGCCACAAGACTGGCTGGTGTATTTAAAATGCTATCACTTTTTAAAAATCATTTATATATTTTGATGTGGATTTTGAAATAAACTTGCAGTCACAAGTTGACAAAATAAAATTTTCTTCAAAGTGCCACTCATAGCTTTGGTGATGACAACTTTTGCTTCCTTTATATAAGAATATTCTTACAACAGAAAATGACCTGCATTTTTTTTTTACTTAAAAGTTGTGAATAAAAAAATCTAATGATATACCCTCTCAGATACATTTTGACTCAAAATCTCAATGGTTTTTGCATTTTTTTAAGAATACTTTTTTTAAATTGGAAACTCAGACATAAAGAGTGGAGGAGAGATAGACAGGAATATCTTCCGTTGATTCACTCTCCAAGCGGCTGCAATGGCAGAGCTGCATCGATCTGAAGCCAGGAGCCCAGAGCCTCTTCCTGGTCTCCCATGCAGATGCCAGGTCCCAAGGCTTTTGGCCGTCCCCGACTGCTTTCCCAGGCAACAAGCAGGGAACTGCATGGGAAGTAGGGCTGCTGGGATTAGAACTGATGCCCATATGAGGTGCTGGCATGTTCAAGGCAAGGACTTTAGCCACTAGGCTATCGCGTCGGGCTGGGTCTTGCATTATAATCATTTAGCAAAATCTTTTATTTTGGAACTACGAAGAATCAATAACACTTATCTATTGCACTCCCGGAAAGTTTTTTATGTTCAATGAAAATGCCAAATGGTCTAAAACAACATTTCTATATGTAGCAGATATTCACAAAAAGACTGCATCTTTGATGAGAGCAATGGCTTGGCCATCCGATGGGCTGGCACGCCCTGCCTCTTCGGACCTAAATTTCCTCATCTAAAATTAAGCCACTTGCAGGGTTCTGTTCAGCCCTGATGTTCTAGTGTTCTAGAAGACACTCACAAGGAATCGAGCGTGGGAGAGGTGGGGTTCTAGAAACCAGGTCAGAGAGGAAAAGCTCCCTTTGTTCATGCCAAGGGGGTGGACTGCGTGCTTCCTCTTCACGTGGCGCTGCAGGCAGTGCGCCCCCTGGCGAGCAGCCCTGAGACAGCCGACGGCACAGTACCCCAAGATGCTCTACATGAGCACAGAAATACCCAAACGCGCAGAGCAGTGAAGCCCAGATGGTGTCACATTCAGAACCTGCCTCGCAGGGCAAGTCTGAAATAGTTCTATGCAACTTGCTGCGTCCCTGAAGTTCTCTTGGAAAGGTCATGATTATTGGATGTTTTAATGATTTTTTTCCCATCATGCATAATTTAACATTATTTTACAAGACTTGCTCTTATCAAAAGAAAAGATGGGAGGCTGGCTCAGTTACAGCTGCACACAAAAGCTTTGGGGCAGAAACAGCGAGACAGCTTTAGTGTAGGAGGAAATGGAATAAAGCAGGGAAAAATTCCAGCTTTCAGTTAAAAAACTTTACATGTGAGTCTGCCCCTCCACTTAATAGCTGACACTTTCGTCAACTATTAATCTTTGTTTTTTGAGAGACAGAGAGAAAGCACCTGCATCTATGAGCTACTTAGCAGCTTAAATGTCTGCGACAGTCGGGACAGGACCAGGCTGAAGCTGAGAGCAAGACACACAGCCCAGGTCCCCTCCTGGGTGAGCCAGCAGCTGCTGTATCCCAGGGGGCGCCAGAGCTGACGGTGGAGCCAGGACTCCAGCCCAGGCTGTCTAGCAGGAAACACAAGTGCCTTGGCTGCTACGCCAACCACCTGCTCCGTGGGCCCAGATTTTTTATCTGCAAGACGGGATAAGCAGCGCTGCATTTTATTGGGGGATGGAATATGAAAGTGTAGATGAATATATTTCAAAAAAATAAAGAGCTGTACACATTACCTATTAACAAAAAGAAACAGGACAGATGAGAACTAATCCTGTCTTGATTTAAGCTGAACTCTAAGCAGCCTTGCCCAGAAAACTCACGACGAAAAGGTAATTACAAAAAAAAAGGAAACAAGCAAGAAGCATAGAGTAAGGTGCTGCGTGCACAGTGCTGAGAGGGATACTCACATTCGGCCAGGCTTCCCATCCAAGGCACCCCCAGGCCATCTCTGGAGTAACTGAGAAATGGGACAGGAGAGCATTTGCGTAAATGACACATGCACGGGAAAACACCATTCATAGTCAAAGCAGGCACAATTTTGGTAGCCTAATTACGATTCATTAGCTGTAGTGCTGAACACAGTTGGAGGGGCTCTGAGTTACCTGGAGAAGTGGATGTAGTTAGCGAAGGCCGAGCCGGCCTGTAAGAGCAGTGCTGTGGTCAGGACCTTCAGGACCGTGTGCATGGGGCCTCCCTTCTTAATGGCCTGCCACAAGGACTGAGCAGAAATGCAGGTGATCACGAAGTACACCAGGACGAGCAGGAAGAAGAACTCGTGCAATCCTGTCAAGAGGAGAGAGGGATCCACTTCAGCACAGCAGCGGTGGTGCAGGGCTGCTTTCCAACCTCCTGTCAACGCACTCCTAGACCTTGCTTTTCACCTGAAAGCCACGGAATTCCCTTTTGCAAAGGAAAAGCAAAGGAGAACTATTAAACCATAAACACATTTCCCTTTGGAACTAAAATTTTTAACTAAAGCAGGCAGATTACACCAAACTAGTTAGAATTAATTTTGTCTGGTGGGGGGTGGGAAGGAGAAGCCCAAGGACTCAATGTTAAATCAATTTCTTGAAAATAGTAAATAAGAACAAAGATATCAGATACACATTTCAGAGCCACCGTGGATTGCCTAAGGAGCTGAGCCAACATCCTCCAACAATGTGTCTCCAAGTGCACCCGGGGCCACAGCATCACTTGCCAACTGGCTGTGAATGCAGATTCCTGGTCCTCCCCGTTGCACCTACTGACTCAGGAACCACAAGTGGAGTCCAGCACCTGCGTCCTGCTAAACCTCAGCACGACAGAGATGGCTCATGGGAGACCACCCCTGCCCTGGGGTGCCCCTTTACCTTCAATTGCCATGAGGTCAAAGTTTCAAAATGTTTGAGCTCCTTCTGCAGCGCTTGCCCCATCCTGGAGGAAAGCCCGTGGAAGTGACAGGACAGCACAGCTGGCTAAACTGTCACCCCTGACCAGACAGCTGGGTGGTCAACAGCACCTGCTGCTCAGGGGGTATGGGTTACGCTAACCACAGTGGGAACTGAGCCCACACACCGCACGAAGGAGCAAGACCACAGAAACGAGCTGCAGGAGCTCGCTCTGGAGCAGGTCAGGAGTCAGAGTAGACCGTGGGAATCCAAGTTCTTGCCTGAACACAACCACAACTGAGCAAAGGGAGAGGGTTGGCAAAGATAGGAACAAAGTAAGGATGTGCAGATCTGATGGGAAAACTGGTGCCTGACATTGCAGAGGCCCCTAGTTCCCATTAGTAGCTGTTCAGTGCAGCCCTCAGGTCGGCTCTAGGTAAACATACTTGCTGCTTTACTTGGAACCTTTTGCCTGGGTCTTCATTTTCCAGAAGTTTCAGAAAACTTCTACGACAAACTAGCTTTGAGTTTAATGGTTTATATTTCCCTGATTGCACCTCGAGACAGTTCCCCATCTGTGGAAGACTCTGGTTGGCGAGCAGGGACAGGACTATAGCAACATGTGAAAAGCAGCCTTGGTAAAATAAAAGCTGTGGGGAGGGTAGTTGCTCCATCACCGCTTTGGCTTGACGCCGAGGGAAAGAAGCAGGAAGCGCTGCTGCCACTGGGTGTCTCTCTTGCTCCACACAGAGCAACGGGGCCTGCACGGGGATAAGGCATTTCAGGTCCCAGGAAAGCAAAGACCAAGCACCACAAGGAGTAAAGCTTCTGTTTAAACTGCTTGCATAGAAAAGTACGCCAGCTTTAGAAATAGTGGGACCATAACCCTGAGGTTATTACAGCACTGGAACAGGATAGAAAACACCGACACAAAAGCTGGGGTCACTGCCATTCTCTTGGCTATTTTGTGATTCGAGTAAAAATTTTTCCTTCCTTTTTAATGTTGAAGAATTCACCATGGGCTACACATAGGTCAACAGGCTGATCCTCCACTTTCAAGTGCTGGCATCCCATGTGGGTACCAGTTAGTTTCCCGGCTGCTCCACTTCCCATCCAGCTCCCTGCTTGCAGCCTGGGAAAGCAGCTGAGGACGGCCCAAAGCCTTGGGACCCTGCAACCACATTGGTTTAGCTCAGCTCTGGCTGTTGCAGCTACTTGAGGAGTGAATCAGGAAATGGAAGATCTGTCTCCCAATAAAACAAATAAATATTTTTCAAAGCATTCATCAAGGCATTCTAGCTAAGGTCTTATTTATAACAGTTAATAGAATACTTATTACAGGAGAAAATCTCAGATTACTAAGTTACAAATCTATCAAAGAAGGAAAACCCTTAGTTTATTTACTACCAAAAAAAAAAAAATCAGAATAACACAGGAAAGGAAGAACACTGGAAAACAATATGGATCCCAACGACAAGTGTTTCAGATTTACTCCAGGCTACTCCAAAAGACCTGCAGACACTGACCAGCACAGGGGATCACTGTATTGAGATGGTATACCGAAAGGAACAGAACCAGGACATCTGTCCTACCTTGTGTCCACTGAATTTTACATGAAGATTCTTATCTTGACCTTGCCCACAAGAGCGCTAGACGGTGAAATATTGATTTTGTATTTAGTGTTCTCTAAATCAAGGACCACTAAAAAGAAAAAAAAAAAAAAGGCTCCTGGGTTTTCTCTCTGGCTATCAATTTTACTTTTGCCTGCCACCAGCTTTCATTAAGAAGAAAGCAGTCTATGTTTTGTTCATTTGGGGATTAAAGTCTACTTTTAAAACAGGTGGACACTAAGTCTTACTTCAAATCATAGATGAGCTGTTAAAATTGAATGCAAGTTTTTCAAAAGCTCAGGTCTAAGTGTAATGATTGATTTATTGTTCTATAACTTTAGCCCGTTGTTTTCTGTATAAATCATAAACATTAAACATGATTTACTTGGTGAAAAACAATTCATAGGCACTAAAGGAAAATATTCTTAAATGCACATGCAACAGGTGCTGAAGATGGAAAACCAGGCAGACTCCAAGGCAAGCTCAGGGAACATTAGTAGGAAGAAGGTTTATGGGTCAGGTTCAGCAAGTTTAGCCCTAGCAAAATGATGGGGGGGGGGTGGCCTGGGCCACAGGGGGCAGCTGCAGGGACACATCTGTCTGTTCACAACCCTTCTTACCTCAGGGCCCAGTGTTCCATGATATAACCAGATTTTGTTCATCATTCAAACTTCAGTGTCCTTCCCAGTGACCTGTGGGGCAGAATTGGTCTACCCTTGTCTTCTCCACATCACTTTAACTTACATCTGTCTTACAACACCATACAAGGGTCCAGCACCCAGTCTGACCAGTGAAATTTCTCAGGGAGCTTCTGCAAAACATTTTCTTACTCTTAAAAGATATTGAGTTTTGGAGTCTTTGAGATCTGATATCCATGACTACGACAGCTAGTTGTGAACTGTAGGGAATAGCCTAGAGACAAAGCCAACAGCCAGAGGACAGCAGGCTGGAGAGACTGCCCCAGGAGATCCCCACAATACCGGCTGCAAATAAGTGTCTTATTGTCTATGCAATTGCCATTTGGGCTTTCTGTGACTTTGGGCCAAAAGCATTCCATCGTGTTAACCAGCAACATGTCATCTAAGCTACATGGGAAATCCAACTTGTTATCTTTTGAGACAGGTCGGAAGCAGAGACAACAGAGAAGAATGTATGTATTTACGGGGATCTTAAAAACAGTGAGGTGGTGGATGCGGCAAAGCCTGTACTGAGATTCCGGTGGAAAGTGGTCTGAATGCCTTTAGGAAACAGAGTTCACAGGATTCTGGTTACTCCTTTTGGCCTCTAAAACCACACACACAGTTACTAAGGAGTTTAATCCTTTTAAAGAGCAGTTTCATTTTATCCTACCTTAAAGCATAATTCTATTCAACACTCAAGTAACATAAAATGTGCCTTAGTTTTTTTTGTCCGTTGTTGTTATTCTCTTCCTTGTTTCAGACCAACTCTAAAATAGAAGAATAACCAAAGTCTGGTAGATATAAAATACATAATTCATTTGAACGAAAACAAATTATAAAACTTAACCAGAATAATATGTGACACTGTTGCGATTTGTAGCTGGTTGCTCTAATTCAAACCTCTTCAATCTATGCTAACAGTCAGTTCTCAGTAAGAAGCGTAACAAACCAATTTTCCCTGCTCCAAGCAGATAATTAGACAAACTAGCAAACATTTCTAAAGTGAATTAATTGGAGATTATTCCCTGGAAACGAATTCCATACCCAAAGCTCCAGGGCAGGAAGAATCCCTCTCGGGCCTCTAAAACTGCCACGTTCCCCAAACGATCTGGACCATGGACTTGACCAGCTGTTCTGTCCTGCACATCAGCACGAACATCAGAGCTCTGACTGCAACGCCTGGCGTCCAGCCCAAACCCACTGGGCCTCTGGGTGTGGACAGCCAGGATTTTTTCCTTTGTAAACTCTGGATACCTGCACAGTGGTGAGTCGAGAGCCACGGATATAGGCATGAACCTCTCAAAAAGCTTTTCAGCTTTCTTAACCGACACGTTGATGGGTTCTTTAGGATTCCGTCAAGCTAGCCACATTAACAGAACTGGAGGATGCTTACTTCTCACACTTATTCTTCACTTGTTTTTTTTTTTTTTATTATTATCATGTTATGATACATTTCCACAGGCCCTAGGATTTCCTTTACCTCCTCCCCAAGTCCCCAAGGGGGGAAATGACTTCTGGGGGCTTCCACAGACTAGGCCTCTGCACTCACAAGGAGGTAAAGGAGATGAGGCAGGGTGGCTTTGAGGAGAGAAGCCAGATGGCATGTGTGGGTTAGGCCAGGGTACCCATCCACATGAGAGATCTGGGCTGGGCTAAGTGGGATTACTTGCTGCCTGCCAGGGCACATGGAAGCTTGGGTTTGGGGGCAGGCCTGGCTGGGCGAGGCCACAGTATTTGCCTGTTAGTATGTGGCAGGGGGTGGGCCATAGCACCCACTGGAATGCCAGGGAACTGGATGATCTGGGGGCAAATGCTGTAGGGTATCTGTGGGCCTGCCTCTGTGGGACTCAGCACCCACTGGCTTGCACAAGAGCTGGGGGTGGAGGCAGACTGGGCTAGGCTGGACCACAGAACTCACATGACACTCATAGGAGCCAGGGCTAAGAGGAGGCTGGGCTGGGACGTGCTGCAGCACCAACTAGCACGTGCAAAGGCAGGGACTGAGGGCAAAGCATGCCAAGTGGGGCTGCAATGCCCGCTAGCACGTGGGAGACCTGGGGTTGGGAGCAGGTCTGGTTTGGGAACGTGGAGAACTCTGCTACTAGGCTGCATCTCCTACTGTGGACAACAATATGTACAAATGTTTTGAAGTCAAAGGATTTATTTCAAATGCGTATCCCTGTATCAACCAAATTATTTGTGACCTATTATCCACAGCACACGCTCTTTGAGTTGCTTTTCTGTGTGCCAACTTGACACTTGAAAGCAGACACCTGCCTCAGACCGAAGTGGCTATCCTTCTGCCTAGCCCCATCCACCCTCCTTAAGGCCAGAGTGGAATTTTTCTTGTTCAAGAGAATAATGAACTCATGCAAAGGTAAACCCCTTTCCACCTATTTTTTTTCCTGATATATAGATCCTTCCTGCAACATGGTAACTTAACAAATTTGTTATGCTCTGTAGTATGTATTTCTTTATGCTACAAGAAGCCATTTATTTCTGTTGGGGCCAGGAGCCTCACTTTAGTAGGCTAGGTAACCTAAAATCCTGATGAAATAGTTGCTGGAAGTCAGCCTGCTTCCAGAAGGCATCGTGGAGTGTGAGCACTCCTAACCGTGAGCTCCAATGAAGGCAGTTCCTGCATGTGCCCACGCAAGCCAGCGGAGGGCCAGTTAGAAAGAGTAGGCCAGGTGCCTGTCTCACACGATCACTCACTGATTTACCCATCTTGGTTGCTCAATTTATGAACCTTCTTTCTTTACAAAACAACTAATGCCAAGTTATGGAAAAAACAAAAATGAATAGAATGGGACCAGCGTGGTGGTGTAACGAGCTAATCCTCTGCCTACCTATACTGGCATTCCCATATTGGTGCCAGTACATGTCCCACTGCTCCACTTCCCACCCAACTCTCCACTTACGGCCTGGGAACGCAGCAGAGGATGGTCCATGGCCTCGGGACCCTGCACCCACGTGGAGAGCTGGAAGAACCTCCTAGCTCCTAGCTTTAGACTGGCCCAGCTCTGGCCATTGCAACCGTTTGGGGAGTAAACCAGTGAGTGGAAGACCTTTCTCTCTGTCCTTCCTTCTTTCTCTGTACCTGTGTCTTTTCAAGTAAAATAAATCAATCCTTTTAAAAAAAGTGTATAAAATACATAAAGGAAATGACAGACTATATAATTCTACCATGTAGAATAAGGAATCTACGTTTATCAATATTTTTGTCCTTCGGTTAGATACATTGGTTACTTTCAATTAAGAATTCAGAAAAGATAACATGAAGATAGTTGTACACAAATCTTTGAGCTTAGGACACGTTTAAGTATTCTTACCAGACTCTTCAGCGCTAAAGTGATCCAACGGATTCCCTTCAGCATCTGGGTTTAGTAACACCATCTCAAATGGGATGTCTTCCGCCGGAGGGCTCTCCTCGTCAGCTCGGCATGTGTATTTGTCTGCGTAGAACACGTGCCACATTTGTGGAGACGGACTCTGGGACACTGTCATATTATGTTCTGTCTGGTTCATGGTCACTTTAAAAAGAAAGAAGATGGCATCTTTCAAAGTAAAATTCTCCGATATGTTCATTGTTTGAGAGGAAGAATCTAAGGGCGGTCTCCTTTGTCAGTGCTTACTACTTTAGAAACCCTATCCTTCTGAGTGACATTAACACCCCGGACCTGGTCACTGCTCATGGCCTTCGTCTTTTCTCCTGGGGGATACCAGTCTGTTTTGTTTCTGTTTTTTAGACATTCAACATGTGTTGATATCTTTACCTAACACAGTGTTGAACCTGTGATTGCAAAGCAAATGAAAACAATATGCCAGCATAAAAAGTGGAGGAATGAAAGAGGGAAAGAGGAAGGGGTAGGAGGTGTCTCTACGCTTCCAATCTACATCATGAAAATTACTCACTTCATATAAGTCAATAAAATTAAAAATTAGAAAAACATGTCCACTGTAGGAGTGCGTGTCATGGTGCAGGGAGGTAAGCTGTTGCCTGGGCATTCTGCACCCCACACTGGAGAGCAGATGACAGTCCCAGCTACTCCACTTCCGGTCCAGCTTCCTGCCTACCACCTTGGTGGGCAGGCAGATGACGGCCCAAGGAGGAGAGCTGAATGGAGTTCCTAGCTTCAGTGCTGACCTGGCCCAGCCCTTGCTGTTGCAAGCTTTTAAGGAATAAACTATCAAATGGAAGCACTCTTACTCTATTTCTTTCTCATACACTATCTTTCAAATAAATAAATAAATCTTTAGAAAAATGCTACATCTCAACCAAAGGAATTACTATCAAAATACTATGAACTCTTGTTTCTTGATCTCTTCTGCCCCATAAATCCAAAGAATATCCCAGCTCTCCAGAGAACAGAGAAGGGAGGGGGAAAACCTAAAGCCAATTGTGGCCAGAGGTTTGTGTTATACTCAGTCCACCCTAGAGAATGACGTTGCACACAGCAGGACCTCAGGATGCTCAGGCCAACCCGCCCATTGCTCAGGAAAGACGACAAGTTCAAAGACAACACAATCCTGACTCTCAGTCTAGTGCTCTTCTCACTGCACTGTACTGTCTGCACAAGTTCAGGGAATATCGGAATGTGATGGAAACAAAAATGATGCTTTTCCAAATACACACACTGCATGGTAAAGCACTGACCATGTGTTACAAGAAGACAAAACAATATTCCTACAGCTCAAAGCCCTAACTTGCTTGGCAAGTTTATATGTTAGAAAGAAAACATCTTTGAGGTTCCAAACGGAAAGCAAGCAACCTACCAACCAACAGACCCCTCCAGCATTCAACTCTGGTTATTCATCCTAAAATAATTAGTGACTAAGAGCGAGAGTACCCTATATCCTCATTCAACTGCATCATCCATTTAGTCCTCATTGTGCTCATCACAATTGCAACTCCACGTTTATTCTCACTGATGGGATTCAATGCTGTGACCTCAATTAGCCTTAAGGATGTGAGTGGCCGAGGTTCCTCGGTTTCCTGTTTGTCAGCTGAGTGACAGATATGCCAGTTCCTGAGGCAGGGGAACAATGGAAGAGAACTCGGTTTCAATGCAAAAAGCCGTGAGTTGGTTTTGAATATCATAAAACGTGGGAAGCAAAGGGCATGAGCCTTTATACGTTTATACAAATGGTGAGCAAGTTGGTGTGGAAAAGCCAGGATAACTGGGAAATGAGCAGCTGGACAAGTTTCTCCGAGTTCTGAAATTCAGAGCTGGAGTAGGTAACTTCAGGTAACTGTCTCTACTACCATTCAGCACGCTGTGGATACCATTTCACAAATCCCGATGAAAGGTTCCCAGCAGGGATGGTGGCATGCATTCGTGCCCTCTAATTTCATTCCTCTTCTGGCTATCATATGAAGGAAGCAGGTAGCTATTGAGATTAAGACTGGATGTCTAGAAATGGGAATGTTTTGCTAAAAGTAGAGTCTTCCATTACCTACAAAAGTCCCTGAATAATGGGAGAAAGAGAAAAAGCATGATTTCTCACACATGTCATGCATGCTCCAAAATGCTAAGGGTGTCCAATAACCAATTACCTTCCAAGGAGTAAAAGTGGTACATGCTCTTCCCACTCACCCTGCATACTTAAATCCTAAAGCATGGGATTGTGTTTCCAAGATGCGACCAAGGATTCAAGGATAAAAGTAGGCAAAGGATGTGATGCTGGCACAGCATTTTGTCGCCAACTCACTGCTCTTGTGTCTCCACAGCACAGCATGAAACAGCATCCCTTAGCGACGTTAGACATTAGAGCTAACACATATGTTCAGTGTTCAGCTCACTGTTGGAACCCATGCCACAGCCACTACAGGCCACTACAGGGCAGAATGTGGTTGGACATTGGCACGAGCAATGCAGACTATACCAGTGGGAATGAAGGGAAGGATTCCTTCATAAATTATTTGGAAGTCTGTTTCTAAAACTTTGGATAACAAAGGGGAGAAAAGTTAGTTTATCGTTTGAATAAGGAAACAACTTCATCAAAATTCAGCATAGAATCCACAGACAAAATATAATACATGCTGTCATGAAACAAACCAGAATGCACATGGATTACGCTATACTCCAACATTAAGAAGACAAAATACTTATTTTAATGGTCAAAGAAGAAACGCTGTACTCACCTGTCAGTTGGGCTTTGGCTAGTTTTTCATGGCAGCTGTAATCCTGACTGCTTTCCTGCAGCTTCAGCCACTCTGGGGCTTGGAATAGGTGGAGTTTAGCTTCTTTTCCCATCGCAACTGCTATGTTGTTGATTCTGACACACAGAAGAGCATGGTCACCTTAACAGTGAAACAGAAATCATCAGCTAGCTTGGGCTTGTAGGGAACTGAGCTCCAAGACCCTTCAACGCCCCACTTACCAACATGGGCATTTCAACAGCACAGGCTTTTGGGGTGGACACTGGCATTGTGGTTAAGATTCTGCCTGGGATACTCAAACCGCAAACTGGAGGACTAGCTTCCCTACTTTTTTTCAATTTTTCTGAGAATTTATTTATATTTGAGAAGCAGATTTTTAGAGAGCAGAAGTCTTTCACCCACTGGTTCACTCCCCAGCTGGCAGCAATGGCTGGAGCTGAGCCACTCCGAAGCTAGGAGCCAGGCTATCCCATGTGAGTGCGGTGGCCCAATGACCTGAGGCATGCTCCACTGCTTTCCCAGACTAAAAGCAGAAAACTGGATCAGAAGTGGATCTGCTTGCTGTACCACTGTGCAGGCCCCAGCTTCTCCACTTCTGATCAGGCTTCCTGTTAGTGCGTTTATTGCAAGATGATGGCTTATTATTGGAGGCCCTTTCGTGCATATGGGAGACCTAGGCTGAATTCCGGGTTCCTAACCTAATATGGACATTTAGGAAGTAAACCAGTATCCCTCTGTTACTGTCTCCTAGCCCTGCAAATCAAAAAGATTTAATGCATAATTTGTCTTAAAATTCAAGTAAGTAAATCCAACTGGAATGACCATCACATTCAAATGCAAACCATGAGGTTAGCCAATATTGCATTGTTTCCCTGCAAAACTTAGCTGGTAACGGGTAACATTTCTTTACACTGGAACAGCTAGAGGGTTATGGTAATAGAACTTCTGTCTCATTTCATACCTGCTCACGCCTTTTCAATTGTCAGAGATAATTTGTAAACATATACCAAAGATTATTTTGTTGTATAACATTGACATTATTGTACTTTTCACGTAAAAAGGAAGTATAGGTAATAGCAAAAAAAAGCTTAGGTGAATGTGTCTTGGTTATCAGACACTTTACACTTGCAACAAAACGTGACATTAGAGACTTTTACAGAAGGACTTTGGAACAGTACGAGTCTTCAGTGTGAAGCAGAAAGGGCCTGCGGGCAGGCAGAGGCGTGTAAGGCCCAGACCAGAAACAGCAAGGGACGGTTGTCTCCAGGAGAGGTGATTCTGTTTCTATTTTTCTATTATTAAAGATTTTAAATACATTTAAAAATGTGTAACAAAGCCTGCCTAAGTCTCTTACATAAAATAATTACAATTAGCTACAGCCTTCAAAGTAATTTCCAACATCCATTAACATTTTAAATTGTATTCACATTTTAAACTTTAAATCATATCCAGAATTAATGATTTTAGTACAGTTTCAGCACTATTTTCCTGAACTGAAACTTACTGCAAGTTGGTAGTCACTAGCAATATAAATCTATATGTATAATGTATAAAGATGAGTACAATTTTATATGTAAGAAGAAGACACATGTTAACACATCCTTAGTCTTTCTCGTAAAGTCTGAATCGAGTCTGTTTCTCCTCTCTCATGGCTTAAAAAAATTGACACCAAAATAAACTTACTTAATTCCAGTTTCCATGAAAAAGGGCTTTTGAATATTTATTTATTTATTTATTTGAAAAGCAGTGACAGAGTGGTGGGGGGGCAGTGAGGGAGTCTGCCATCCATTCACTGGTCCACCCGCCAAATGGCCACAACAGACATGTCTGAGCCAGGAAGTCCGTCCTGGTCCCCTCCACGGGTGGCAGGAGCCCAATTACCCAGGCCATATGACACTGCCTTCCCAGCAGCATGACCTGGACAATGGGTCCGAGGCAAAGGTCTGAGGCTTGAACCAGTATGCCCATATAAAATGTCAACATGGCAAGCAGCAGGCTCACCCGCTGTGCCATGACATTGGCACGAAGCATAAACTTCTGGGAATATCTTTGCATGTTTGCCAGGTAACCAAGAACTGGCCAGGGGCCTCCAAGTTGCTCTGCTGGCCATGAGGAATAATCCTGCACAACCCTGACATTCTAGAACCATCATGCTGTTGATGAGTGAGATTGCTGTCCCTGTCAACACTCCAAGGATGCTAACAGCCAACTGAGGAAATGAAAGCACTGCCACGAATTACGAATAAAACTGTCTGCTTTCAGCCAAGGTACATTCCACGTGGGATTTTGGAAAGCTGAGTTGCATTATTTTCCTATTTTAACAATTTCAGATTAAAAAAAAGAAATACGGCTTCTCTTCCTTCATTTATATCATCAATTCTGCAATTTGCAATCATTAGACTTCCTCCCCAAACCACAATCTCTCCCACTCTATCTTCTCCTGAAAACCCTTTCCAGGCCAGTATTCTGATCTTTGTGGCAGCATCTTTCACTGTTAAAAGATGATAAACCCGAGACCCTAACTTCCTCAAGGAAAATAGTCATCTGGAGTATAAGTGCCAAGAAAAACCTTTAGATGTGTAGAAGACGTAGTAATGAGGCAGAAACGGAAGTGAACTCCTAACTTGTTCACTGACGATGTCATTATTGATTTTGGAAGGAGGCCCTCAGGTAGGGTGCGCTCTGATTTCCTAAAGGGCCAGGGAAAACCCAGACAAGTATCTGCGTCGCCTGAATGCTTGGGCCTCCTGCTGCAGAAGCAACCAACCCCACGAGTGTCTAAGTAACCGAAGCGTTCTGGGAGGCATGATGCCTGGTGTGTCACCTGCTTTCTAGAACTTCTCTGCTGTTGTCTTTACCAATCTGGTCTGGGGGTGGAGAGGACCCTTAGTAATCTAAGCCCTACGGCTTGGATGGGAAGGACCCTGCCTACAGCGAGTGTAGGCAATGTGGCTGGGCCAGGGCTGGGCCAGCGATGGAGGGTCTGGAGAGAGGGAGTCGTTTGCTCGGGAAGGACCGAGGAAACCCGGTGCAGGTGCAGGTGCAGAACACACCTACGCGCGACAGGGGCAGCCCGGGGCCCGGCAGGCGGCGGGAGTGGGCTCGGCCAGCGCGGGCAGCGGGTGAGAGGTGAGGCTGCACGGGTCGCCCGGCCAGCCCAGCCCGGCTCAGTCCTGCCCAGCGTGGCGCCGCGGCCGGGGCTGGGCGTCCCCCGGGAGGCGGGGAGGAGCGGCCCGCACGCCTTCCTCCCTCTCCCCGCCCCCCGACCTACCGTGGAACTGGAAGTGGCCGATGCTCTGGCCCTGAGCGTCTCGGGCCGCGGCGCTGCTGAAGCTGCCCCGGAGGGTCTTACTCTGGCTGCCCCGCGGCCAGCAGCAGCACGTGAGGGCCACTGCCAGCAGCCGCAGCGGCCCCATCCCCGCGCCCACCGCGGCCCCAAAGCGCCCGCGGCCGCCGGCCCCACGTCGGCAGCGGGCAGGGGGCGGAGCCAGCGCGGCCGACCCCGCCCCGAGAGGCGGAGACCCAATGAAACGAACGCCTCGTCCGAGCGCTGAGGATCCTCGCCAATCAGAGGCCGAGGTGGGCGGGACGTGCGGATGCACGCGTCCTGTCGCACTCCAGCGTTTGGGCTGGTTCCCGGAGAATCGGGAGGATGTCGCTTCTGGTTACGGAAAAAAAGGCTCGGGCGCCCGGGTGGCCCGGCGCGTCCTGGTACGGCGCGTGCGCAGACGCGCTGGCCCGGTGCGCGAGGCCTTTGCGTGGCGTTGCGTGCTGTGTGGATTTCAGAACCAGCCGCGTCACGCTTAACGGGACATGCCTGATCCTGAGGGAACCGCGTTCTTACTCAGCTTTTCCTCAGTGCTTGTGCACTGAGTATTGAACATACCTGCTTCAGCATCTGATAGACGCTTACCATGTCCAAAGTTCACGGTCCACTCACCTGGGCACCCAGAGCGATCCTTTTCCTCTTCCTCGTCTTCTTGAATGACAGTGCATTCTTACCTACCCCCTCATCAGTCCAAGGACAGGGTGGTGAGTTCCTATGGGGCGAGAGCAGGCAGGAATTCACTCCATCACCTACGGGCCTATGACAAGTCGCCCATTCCAAGTCTCAGTGCTGATTGGCCCAAGAGGCACAGGACTATGTCGGAATCCCTTCCCTTGAAGCCTTCTCTGTTGCCTGCAGTACAACCCCCCCAGCGTTACCGCTGTGAATTCACCCAACACCCCAAGTCTCTGGTTGTAGGCCTCTATCCCTGGCAGAACCTTCTGGTAGGATTGGCTCTGTCTACGTTTTTCATTTACTCTTTCGCAACATAAAAGACTCATATCTATGCATCTGTCTAGATGCCCCAGCACTGAAATCCGTTGATTCTCCTACCAGGCCAGTTATCACGACCCACTGTCAACTGTCAGTGAGAATTTCTGCACACTATTCTGCGCAGTAAATGCCAGATGGACAAACTGCTCACCTTGATGCAACCAGGAGGTCAAAATTATTTCGTAAATAAACATATGTAGATTATTTCATCCAATGAGCTTTTATAACACATAGGCAACTTTCCACAACAGACTTGACAGTGTAGAAAAAAAAAATCTTGAGGGAGTGTCTCCTAGCAGATACCAAATGTCCAATACCTCTGGTTGAGCAGGAGTAAAACAGAAGTGTCAATATTTGGGGACTTGAGAGTGGCACTCGAGGTTCTGAGGACTGCCCAGGAAGTAGAACAGCTGGGACTAGCTTCATCGTTCACAGGAGAGGTGAGCATTGCGAGCAGAGGCTCAGCCTGTTATGCCATGGTGCTTTTATTGTCTTGAAGAGACACCTTTCAGAAGAACATCGTCACTAACAAAGCCAGATGTGTAGGAGCTCAGATGTCAAAAAGAGCGACAGACCGTACCAGAAGCTAGGTTCCATGTAAAAGCAAAGGAAGAGGCTTTCTATGACCCTGGGGTGGGTCAGTACTCCTCCTGCGGCCTGGCTGGGAACCATGGGTCACCTTGAGGACATGTAAAAGGCCGGGTGGTCTGGAAAAGAGGAATAAGGATTCACTACAATACAATATGTGTCAATCCTCACTCCATGTTGGAACATTATTTTTAAAGGTCTATGATGTTTTAGAAGTTAGAAAATATAACACATCTTTAGTTGGTCTGTTTATTATTATTATCTGCAATTTAGCAATGAATGGTCTCTATTACACATCTTGGAATTTGCAGGTCGCACAGTATGCATGTTTGAGATTTCATGTACGTGGCCACTTGGCCACCCAGGAGGGCTGGAGTAGGTGACACATGGTGCAGACCCGTTATTAGCATGCGTTTTAGGCTTCACCAAAGCATACGGGTGCGAGGGCAGATTTGAATTCTTCTGCTGAATAGTACTGAGTGGTTTACACTATGCCAGGCCTGGTCCTGGGGGCTTGCGACGACAGAAGGAATCTAAGACCCCCCACGGAACTGTGGGGAGCAATATCATCAATGAGCATTTCATGAGTGTTATTAAAAATGAAGCCTAGGGTGTGTGGCAGGGCTGGGGAGATGGTTCCATTTTCTCTGTAGCTATGGAGGAAGGAGGCTCTAAGAGGCTGACGTTCAAGCCGAGAACTTAAGAGGAAGGCAGGGGAAGGACGAGGGGGGTGCCTGGGGAAGGGGCGGCCAGACCCTAGAGACTTAGTGTGCCTGGCCAACAGGTGGGTGCGGCAAGGAGTGGCAGATTAGGGCACAGTTAAGAATGGAGAGAGTAACAGGACAGGCTGCAATGGCAACATCATCACGACTGCAAGCAGCCAGAGCTCTCTGATGTTATCAACCGCACGTTGCAAAAGCCGACCTTGCATCTCCACACTCTGCCAAAAGAAAACTGCCCTCCCGTTCGCAGCTCCAGTACAAGCAGGCGCTCATTCCTAACTCTGACGTCCTAGGGAGCAAAGCCCAAGTGCTGCTGGTGACACCTGTCGGGAACACGTTCCCGGAGCCCTGCCCCAGCGACCCCCTCCTGCCCTCCTGGCCTCCTGGCCTCCTGGTCTCCTGCCCTTCCTGGCTCGCAGAGTCGCTCGCGCGTGCGCAGAGCGCCCTCCCGGCCGAGGGCGGGGCGCGCCGCTCTCCGGAAGCCAGCGCCGACTTCCCGAGTGACGTGTCGGGGAGGGAGGCCCGTCGCAAAAGGTCGCGGTGGCGCTTCCCGGCGGCGCTTCCCGGCGGCGCTTCCCTGCGGCGCCGGGACCCCGCGCTTTACGGTGCCGGGAGATGTCGGCGGCGGGCCGGGCGGAACCCCTAGGTCGGCCCGGCAGCTTTGCGAAGCGGGTCCTGGTGACCGGGGGCGCTGGTTTCATGTAGGTAACGGCTCCATGGGCTGAGCAGGGGCTCCGAGGAATGCCCACCCCTTCCTTCTGCTCGCCAGCTCTTGCCGGGGGTGGGTGGGGTGCACAGGGGTCCTAAGTCCGAGCAGAGCCATCTCCCCCAACCCCTCTCTCTGGCCTGCGAAGACGTCCTTCCTCCGGACCCCTGAGGGCTGTGCTGCCGTCCAGTGCTACCTGGCCCGGGTCCTCACCGCCTGCCCCCTCTCTTTGGGGCCGCACGACGTTCCAGTGGGCTTCCTGGCCAGGGGTCCCCGTGCACCTGACGCAGGCCATGACACGTCAACACCCAGAGAAAGCACGCGCGGGTTAGCATTGGGCGCGCCTTAGGAAGCTGGGATCCGTGCGAGGCTCCTGATGCCTGTGCTCGCACTCGGGCAGCAAACCCCTCTGGCCACTCTCACTTGGCTCTTGCACCCCAGCCCTCCTCACCGGGACCCTGGCCATGGCCTCCTGCCTCCTCCTTCCATAGTCGCTGTTGCCTAAGGAACCTAAGATCCTTTGGGTGGGTGGATGACTGCATTGGCGCTTCCTTCGCCGACGGGAGGGACTCACACACTCAGCCCCATGTTTCCAACCAGATGTCCCGATTCCGTCTGCTGCCCACACCTGTTTAGCTTTAACTCTCAGTTTGAGGTGCCAGTGCTCGCGTTTACCTATGGGACTGTTTGCACCGCTTAGTTCACGCCTTGATTCACGTACCAGGTCCCCAGACAGGCCTTACCTGACTGTCTACACCAGCTGCCGCCCAGCTAACACGCTGAGCTCCCACCTGAATTTCCCTGGCAGATGTGTTTACCTGTGGACTGCCTACGTCCCCACCTGGAATGTAAGCTCCCCAAAGGCAGAGATGTATGACTAATAAACAGAAAACTCCCTGCCCGCAGGAAACCCCCTGTCTGAAAAGAAGGAATGTGAATTGGAGGGTCTGGTTAATTGCTAGTTAGCATGTCAAATCAGCGCTTCCAACCTGACAGTCACTTGGGTTAATGGACCACTTAATGAGCGGACCAGACATGGACGGGAAGAGGCGGAGCAGGGATGCGGAAGAGGTGGAGCAGGGATGTGCAGAAGCTGCCAAGCACAACTCTACCTTCCTACCTCGGCACTGTTTGCCCTTGTTCTCCCGAGCCCCGTGTTTTACCTGTGTGTTTCTGAAAGATCCAGTGAATGAGCACACTGCGGTAACCCTGATTCTACTTCCTTGCTGGGTCACCCCAAGCCAGGATTCACTAGAGACGTGTGTCTTAGGGTGGTTTTAGCCGACTTTGGCCTTGGAGACCCTCCCACTTTACAAAAGAGTCTGGTTTATACCACCCAGTTCCCCTACCAAGAGAAAGCAGTTGTGGAAATTATAGACAGACCAACTGAGCGTGCTTATGCTCATTTAATTTTTACATAATTTTAGCTGCATCTCCTAAAAAAGCACGTGATAGTTTTAGTATGATTGGGTGTTTGCCCATTGTACCAGGGTCATGCTTTTTCTCACGCTAGAGGCAGACATGAAGGACATCATTTGGCTGAGTTTTTCTCCTTATACCCAGAACCAGTAAATTCTCTCTTCTGTATGGCCTAAAGGAAGTGCAAGATTTTGCTTATGGATACTCTTGAAAAGTCTGTTGAAGAGAATGTGTGTGTGTGTGTGTAGGATATAGTTGTGTTGTTTCTGTTATCTTGGCAAGATTTAAAGCTGTCTTTGGATAATTTCCAGGTAATTGGCTGTTTAGCAAAACATTCAAGAATTGAGGGAGATTCCTATTTTAACATTTATGTGTTCTCTTCCTCCTAGTGCGTCACATGTGATTCTCTCCTTGGTAGAAGATTATCCAAATTATATGATCATAAATCTGGACAAGGTGAGTTATATAAAAATGAGTTTCATGCGCTGAAATTGCATTTTAATTCGGTTAAATTATTTCAAACTACTGGAATCCTGTTTATATTTTACTTTTTACTTACTGACTTTAGCAACATGGGGAACTGTATAACCATGTGCTCAAGATGCATTTTGTCTTATATAAAATCTTGTGAAAGCTTCACTTATTATAGTAGTACATAAAGTACTGGTTTAAATGCTACATTTTTACCAAAAGAAAATCTCATCCTTTATAAATTCAGTATTTAGTATAGTATGATTACTGAATTTTTTTTTGGTCTTGGGATACTTTGTTCAATTTTCTAATGTTGTAATTGTTTTCAGCCACCAATTCCTTTTCTGTAAGAAATTGTAAAGTTTTCTAGTCACCTATGTCAGGTACAATTTTTAAAAGCAGACGTTTACAAAAATTTGTGTATATATATTTTGAGAAAGTAGCAATGTTTCTTGTTTTTTACTCTAAGGTATCGGAAACTTAAAATATGTAAATAGAAGGAACATGTTCTTATAAACAGTTATTAATATTTATTGTGTTTAAATTGGTATTTTTGTGGGAAAAGTTAGTGTTATTATTTTTGTGTGGCCTCACCTCCATGCTCTCATATTTTATTAAGCTCGATTACTGTGCAAGCTTGAAGAATCTTGAAACCATTTCTCACAAAGTGAACTACAAATTTATACAGGTACGGAATTACTGTACTGTGCTTCTTCAGTCCATTTAGAAGATCTTTCTTGGAAAGAAAGAACTTGGAAGGCACACTTATTAAAGACCTTTAGAAAAAACAGATAATTTCATTTTAAACACAGAGAGACAAATAGAGAGATCTTTGTTGATTTACTACCCAATGGCTGGGACAAGCAGGGCTGGGCCAGGCTGAAGCCAGGAGCCAGGAACTCTGTCCTGGTCTCCGCAAGGGTGGCGGGAGAATCCCTTGGGCCAACTTGCATTGCCTGTTCAGGCACGTGCGCAGGGAGCTGGAGCAGACGTGACCCAGCTGGGACTTTGCCCAACACCAAGCCTGGCGGTGTAACCAGCTGTGCCACAGCACCCACACCTGTAACTCTTCTAACCACAAAACTTAAAAACAAAAACAAAAAAACACAGTAAGCAACCGTTTCATGATTCTTTCTGCATAAAATGTTAATTTACAAAAGGATTGTTGCAAATCTATATTTGTAAAGTAGTTAAATGCACATATAAACATCAAAAGTACCAACATTTTATTTAGTTGTGCCAAATATGTTTGCAAAATGTCATTCCAGTTACTAAATTTACTTTAAATATATCTCTGTAGTAGATATGTCAGAGTGTTTTGAAGTGTTAAAAACTTTCCCGACAAATATGCTGCTCATAAGTTGGCAAGAATTTTATGCAAAAATTAGCTTGGTGTTTAGAAGTAGTTGGTTCTCAATAAAACATTGTTTTATATTTGCTTGCAAAAAATAGTATGAATTCAGCCGCTTAATACCCTGGGAGGATGGAGCAGCACACCTTCACCATGTGTCCTTGGTTACGTGATTAAACTTTGAAGCTGTTCTGTTCAGCTGGGAGCTGGGGAGGGAGAAATGCTATGGCGAAAGGATGGTAAGAGCGACCAGTGACTCCTCACGTTCGTGGCTGCTTTTCCCATAGGGCGACATATGTGATTCTCACTTTGTGAAACGGCTTTTTGACAAAGAGAAGATAGACATAGTACTGCATTTTGCTGCACAAACACATGTAGGTAAGCATTATTTTGTGTCCTGATTGGTAACTTCCTCTGCTGCCCACAGTGGCTCGTGAGCCTAAATCCAAAGTCCAGTAATGAGGCTGGATAAATAGACACTTCATGTGACTCTCTGAGGGAGGATGTCCGTTGATGTGATTTTCTTTTGTTGGACTTTTGAGTTCTTTACAGTTTTCGACAGTTTTGAACCCTGCTACCCTGAACGTTGTTATTCCTGTGTCATTGCACTTGTCAGTACACTGCTGTCGGATCTGTAACTAGGGTTACAAGACCGGTATGCTTCGATACTGAGATAATGTCAGACTATTTCCCGAAGTAATTATATTAGTCCAGGAGTGTGTGACTTCCTGTTACTCTGCATTGCACCAAAGTTTAGTTTTGTCCAATTTTTCCATTTTTTCCAATCACTATGTAGTGATCTCTTGTCATTTGTATTGTCCCTGATTACTGACAAGATTGAATACTTTGATTTTTTTTATTCATTTATTTTGAAGACTTAATTCAAAAGTCACAGTTACAGAGAGGAAGACAGATCTTCCACCCACTGACGTACTCCTCAGATGGTCATAATAGCCAGAACTGGTGGGAGCCAGTGGCTCCCTCTGGGTCTCCCATGTGGGTGCTACCTTTTGAGACTATAAGGAGTGGACTGGATTGAAAGTGGAGCAGCCAGGACTCAAACGGGGACTCATATGGGATGCTGGTGCCATGGGTAGCTGATCAGCCTGTATCCCCTAAGACTGATCTTTTTAATTTAGTAAGTTGAACTCTTTTTGCGAAATGCTGTTGGAGTATTTCTCTGTTTTTGAACTGGGTTGTTATCCTCTTGAAAAGAGAAGTTTCAATAAGAAAAATGAAGAGAAGTAGATACTAGCTGTGTTTTATTATATGTATCACAAATATCTTTTTCTGCTCAGGTTTGTCACCTTTTTGGCAGTGTGTTTTGATTAATTCATATTACTTTTAAAATGTTTATTTATTTGGAAGGTGGGGAGAGACAGGGAAAGCGAGATCTTCCACCTGCTGACTCATTCCCAACTGCTTATAACAGCGAGGGCTAGGCCATGCTCAAAACAACCAGGAAATCCCATCTGGGTCTCCCACGTGGGCGCCTTCCTCTGCCAGCTCCTTGGCAAAGTAACAGAGTACTGGCTCAGAAACAGAACAGAGGAGACTTGAACTACTGATTCCATATGGGTGTTGGACATCCAGGTGGTGACTTAACATGCTGCACCACGGCTCGTGAGCTGGTGTTCTTAATTTTAGTGTAGCTGAGTTTATGTCTTTTCCTTATGTAATTTTTTCCATGTGAATATCAAGTATACCTGTATTGTTTATTGAAAGTTTACCTGTTTCCTCTGTTGGCATGTATGAAGTGTCCTAATATGTGTTTCTCTTTCTCTGCTCTTTGCATTTATCTCTTTGTGCTTGTTACACACTGTGTGGACAAACACAGTTACCTCCCGTCTGAAAGAGCAAGTCTCTCAACTTGGTCGGTAATAGAGCATTGGTGCTCTCCGCTGAGCTCTTTATGAATGACTTGTCAATGGTTGCTGCTACCAGTCTCCTGAGCTTTTGCTTTTTTTTATTACTGAGCATTTGTGTGTTGGGTTATTGTCCTTTATTGTTGGTACATCCTCTGAAAAGTTTCTTGACCTTTTTCATCTTTTTTATGGGTTGCTGTTTTCTTCCCCAGAAATCTTTGCAAGTCTCTTGTTGATTTGTACCATTTGCAATTATCTTCCTTTAATCTAAAACTTGCCATTTCACTTTTCTTAATGGTGTCTTGTGATTGGTGAATTGTCTTCATTTCAGTGCTGCTCAGTTTATCAACCATTTTTTAAAAATGACTTGCTTGTTTGAAAATCAGAGCTCCACAGAGAGGGAGAGGGAGATCCATCCGCTCTTCAGACAGCCACCATGGCCAGGAATGGGCCAGTCCAAAGCACTTGGACCATCTTTCCTTTGCTTCTCCGAGGCCATGGGCAGGGAGCTGGATAGGAAGTAGAGCAACCAGCCTGGAACCAGCACCCGTATGGAATGCGGTCATCGCTGGCGTGGCTGTAACTGGTGTACCTGTACCTTTAAATGCTGGGCCTTATTGGCCTTTTTTTCTTTTTTTAAAATAAGGGTGCTCTCGGTAAATAGCCTATGATCACTTCTCCTACTTCCAGGTCACAGACATATTCTCATATTCCTCCCTCCATCTATATCACTTCGCTCAGCGTTACTGAATGAAAAGACGTGGCCCTTCCACAGAACTGCCTTATCATAAAGCACGTGTCCAGTGTGTCTGGCTGTCTTCTGGGGCTCTACTCTGTTCTGTCACTTTTTGTCTGTCCTTATCAATATCCCGCTCTCTTCATTACTGTCACTTTTTAATTCTTGGTACCAACAAAGAAAGCCCACCTATCTCTTAGAAAAAGGTGTCTTTGATGTTGTTCGTCTTTTTTTTAATGTAATAAATTTCTACTCTTCCTGTATTAATATTTCTACATTGTTTTCTGTGATATATCTAACTTTCTGTTAAATTATGATAAAAGCTAATTTTAAGCATATCTTTATATGTTTAGGATATAATTTTTTAAAAGATTGTTTTGTTCATTCGAAAGTCAGAGTTACAGAGAAGGAGGCACACAGAGAGAAGAGATTCTCTATCCACTGGTTCACTCCCTGAGTGGCTGCTGCTGTCATAGATGGGCCTGGATGGGCCTGGCTAAAGCCAGGGGCTAAATCCAGGTCTGCATGTGGGCGACAAGGGTAAAGCACTTGGACCATCTTCTGCTTTCCCAGGCCAGCAGCAGGAGCTGGATGGGAAGCAGAGCAGCCAGGATAGCCCTGCACCCATGCGGGTCGCTGATATTAGTTGAGACTTTACCCATAGTACCGCAATGCCCATTCCCTAGGCTTTAAATTTACTTTGGAGTGCTGCTTTATTTGAATTTCACAAGTTATTTAAGTTGTTTATGTTATCTCTTGTTTTTAGGACTCTGATTTTTTCTTTAATTCATGGGTTACACCAACGTTCAGATATTTACAACTGTGTGAATTTTCTTTTTGCCATTGATATCTAGCCTAGATGAATGTGACTCGATAACATACTGTGTAATTCTAGTCCTTGGTGCTACAGTTTGCTTTTGGATCATTGCATAATTGCTTTCTGAGCAATATTATGGGGCTTGAAAAGAATGTTACTGTGCCAATTTTGAAGTCACTGTTCTTTGTCCTTAGGTTAAGTTGGTTAAGCATTTTCTGTAAAACTCTTGATCATTTCTGGTAAATTAAACATTTTCTTCATGTAATATGTTTCTTCCTTGGTGATGTGTATTCTCTTAAAGGTAGTATTTTTTTTTAAGATTTTTTTTTTTGGGCCCGGCGCGGTGGCGCAAGTGGTTAAAGGTCCTCGCCTTGCACGCCCAGGATCCCATATGGACGCCGGTTCTAATCCCGGCAGCCCTGCTTCCCTTCCAGCTCCCTGCCTGTGGCCTGGGAAAGCATTCGAGGACGGCCCAAAGCTTTGGGAACCTGCACCCGCGTGGGAGACCCGGAAGAGGCTCCTGGCTTCGGATCGGCATAGCATCGGCCTGTTGTGCTCACTTGGGGAGTGAATCATCGGACGGAATCTTCCTCTCTGTCTCTCCTCTCTGTATATCCACCTTTCCAATACAAAAATAATAAAAATAAATCTTTGAAAAAAAAAAAAGATTTTTTTTTTTAATTGGAAAGCCAAATATACAGAGAGAAGGAGAGACAGAAAGATCTTCTCTCAACTGGTTCACTCCCCAGGTAGCTGCAGCAGCTGGGGCTGAGCTGTTCTGAAGCAAGGAACCAGGAGCTTCTTTCTGATCTCCCACACGGGTGAAGGGTCCCAAGGCTTTGGGCTGTCTTCCACTGCTTTCCCTTGTCAAAAACAGGGAGGTAGATGGGAAGTGGAGTAGCAGGGAAATGAACTGGTGCTCATATTGGATCCCAGTTCATGCAAGGCAAGGGATTTAGCCACTAGGCTTCCCCACCGGGCCTTACATGTACTCTCTTGAATTTGATTGGCATTAATATAACTGTATCACTTTCTTTTTTATTAGTATTTGCATTATATGTCTTTTAAAATCCTTTTATTACAAATTTTCTCTAGCTTCAGAGTTTAGCCACATGCCCTGTAAGCAACATGTAGTTGGATTTTTTTTTAAACCATCCCAGACCATCCTTGATGCCTACCTTTACATTTGAGTTTGTCGATATGTTCTGTTTATTTCTGTCAATTTCTCATATGCTGTTCTTCTGTTCCTGTGCTTGCCTTTTGATTTAAAAAAAAAATTCTTCCTTGCCTTTGTAATTTAGTTCCTTTTTTATTTTTAAATTATTGCTTATTTTATCCAAGACTCAGCTGAGGACTTTTTTTTATTCTCTTTCTTCTGTTCATTTGGAATTTACATAAGCTATCTTCATTCTTTGCATGGTTTCCTACAAACTGCACATGTGTCATGATTTAGCAAAGTTTAAAGTCCAACAAAACATTTGCTCTGATCTTGGGTCATGCACTTTAGCCACATTTATGCACTGTCACATCTATTTATATTTACCTGGAATTCTGTCTTATTTTGGTTCCCATTCCCACTAGCCATCATTATTTTGCATTGCTAATATTCTGGGATATTAGAGATTCGCAGAGCAATATTTTAATGACATCATTTATGCCTACAGAAGAGTCAGGTTTAATTCTGATTCTTTTTATTATTTATCTCCTAAATTCTATTACAGTGAGTTGGTTTCCTAGCCTCTTCAATTTTCTTAAACAGCCTCTTCTAACTTCTTCCTGTGTCCTTGTTGACATTACAATAGTTGTGTTTAATATTCCCCTCTGGCTTTAGCTTGTTGCTATGTTTGGGTTTATTTCTGCCATCTTACTGTGTGTAGTAAGAACACAATATGTTCTAGGCTTATTTTAGTGTTTCTTCCTAAGTCTGAATCAACCATTTCTCTAAGGATCCCTAGTTCTTTTTGAGTGAAAAATGGTATTTAGAATCCGCACTAATGGTCCACTGCTACTGACTGGACATTTCTTCCAAGCGTTTTCAGGTGATAGAACTAGGGAATATTTATGTGTTGGTCTGTTTGCTTAAGAGTCCTCTAGATAACTTTGGGTCCAGTGCTTAGTTGCTAAATCCTCGCTTTGCAACTGCCAGGATTGTATATGGGCACTGGGTCATGTCCCAGCTGCTCCACTTCCCGTACAAGTCCCTGCTTGTGACTCGGGAAAGCAGCAGAGCATGGCTCAAAGAACCTTGGGACTCTGTACCCACATGGGAGATCAGGAAGAAGCTTCTGGCTCCTGGCTTTGGATCAGCTTAGCTCCAGCTGTTATAGCCACTTGGGGAGTGAACCAGTGGATAGAAGGTCTTTCTCTCTCTCTCTCCTCTTGGTAAATTTGCCTTTCCATATGTAAAAAAATAAATCTTTGAAAAGAAAGAGTCCTAAAGAAAACTTTATATTCTTTAATTTTAGGGTCTAGTTTAAAAAAAAAAAACAGTTACAGCAGTCTTATTGGCCTTCTCAAGCAATACACATCTTTATTTGCTCTTTGTTTTGCAGGTTTCTGTATGTGTGTGTGTGTACGTGAAAGGCAAAGCTGAAAGACAGATTCAGAGATCTCCCATTCTCTGGTTCACTCCCCAAAACTGCAGTTGTCCCTGCTGGGCCAGGTTAAAGATAGGAACCAAGAACGATGTGTCTCCGTTGTGGGTGGCATTGCCCAGGTACTTGGGGCACATTAGCAGGGAGCTGGAACCAGTACTCAGATGGAATGTTGGTAGTAGTTTGACCTATTATACCATACTGCCAACTCCCATATTGTCAAGTTTTAAAATTTTTGCCAGTGTGCTAAGCAACAGATGGTATCTTGGAGTTTTTAACTTGTGTTTTCCTTCTTTAAGTAAAGTTGAATATCGTAAGCTTAGTGACTGTATTTCTCTGTCACTATTTATGTCTCCCTCTACTGAGTTTTTTATTGGGAGAAGGGTTATTTTTTAGAAGCTATTTGTAGATTAAATAGATTAATCTGATAAGATATTTTCCAGTTTGTTATGTGTTTTTGTTTTGTTTATAGTTTGTTTTTGTTTGGCTAACTCTGCAAGTATTTTTGTATAGTAAAAATTTTCAGTCTCTTCCCATAACTGCTTCTGAATTGTGAGACAGTTAAGAAAGTCTCCTTTAGGGACTAGTGCGGTTGCATAGCAGGCTAATCCGCCATCGTGTGGCACCAGCTCTCCATATGGGAGCCAATTTGTGTTCTGGCTGCTCCACTTCAGATCCAGTTCTGTGCTAATGGCCTGGGAATGCATTGGGTGAGAGCCCGAGTCCTTGGACTTCTGTACCTGCATGTGAAACTCTAAAGAAGCTCCTGGCCCCTGGCTTTCATCAGCTCAACTCTAGTTGTTGCAGCCTTTGCAGAGTGAACCAGAGGATGGATGATCTTACTGTCTCTCCTTCTTTCTGTAAATCTGCCTTTCCAATAAAAATAAATACATCTTCCAAAATGAAAAAAAGAAATGCCTCTATACTCCCTGCACTTTCATGGCCAGAAAGGTAGAAGTTCTTTTGAAGTGAGTTTATTTGTAAATAATTTACCCAGCACTTTTGATCTGAAAGCTTAGCTTTCTAATATCAGAACTTTGTAGTTTCAAATTGCTTTTTAAAAATTTAATAGCATTTTAAATATAGGCATATCATTTTTATTTTCTTATTTTTTTAAAGGTTTGTTTATTTTTATTTGAGAGGCAGAGAGAATGTGAGACAGAAGGATCTTCCACCCACTGGCTCACTCCTCAAATGACTGCAGTAGCTGGAACTGAGCTAATCTGAAGCCAGGAGCCAGGAGCCTCCTTTGGGTCTCTCACATGGGTGCAGGGTCCCAAGGACTTGAGCCATCCTTGCTGCCTTCCCAAGCCACAAGTAGGTAGTGGGATGGGAAATGGAGCAGTCAGGACATGAACTGGCGCCCATATGGGATCCTGGTGCTTGGAGTTGGAAGATTAACCATCGTGCCAAGCCCTGTTTATTATCTTTTTTTTTTTTTTTTAAGAATAAAAATTAAGTTTCTATGAATTTAGCATTGACAGTTTTCAGGGTTCTAGAAATTTACATACACTTTGTGATTTAGATTGAAAGATATGACCAAAAAGTATGTGTATATTTTTCCTAAAATTATTGCAATAAACAAAATGAATAGCACTTTCCTTGCAGCTGCATCTCTCCTTTGTTCTTTGGGTGGACTCATTCTCTTTGTCCTTTTGCTTTGTAGATCTTTCATTTGTCCGTGCTTTTGAGTTCACATACGTTAATGTCTATGGCACTCACGTGCTGGTCAGTGCTGCTCATGAAGCCAGAGTGGAAAAATTTATTTACGTCAGCACAGATGAGGTGTATGGTGGGAGCCTTGACAAGGTAAGAGCAGCTCGGGCTGGGACGCAGGTCTGCCTTCTTACCCACACTGGTGCTGTCCTCTTCTGTCCCGATCCGCTGATGCTGCCCGCAGCGGGAAATGGCAGCCCAGTCTCAGCACCAGTTAAGCCTCAGCAGACAGGTCGGCAAGAAAGCAGCAGGCTTCCTGCCTTCTTCCTCTTACGGAGATGGACATCACTCCCACAGAGCGATGCACCCGTCACTCAGGTGGCGCCGCCCCTTCCACCTGCTCACTTTTCTCTTCCAGTGAGGAAAGTACATGGACCTGTCAAAGAGGGAGTGTGACGTTGTTGTAGAAATCCAAATCATGAACACTAGACTTTGTCCCCAGAAAGATGGTTCCCTTCTCCAGCCTCTACTTTTGACAGTATGCAGTGACCTTATTTTGTTTTATTTATTTTATTAGTAAATATTTTCTTCATTTTACTGCATCACACACACCCTGAAAAAAAAAATCAGACTTCACCAGAGAACAGAACAGGGAGAAACAGACCCTGACCATTTCTGCTCAACCTCTGCTTTCCAGAAGCAGCAGCCTCTGACCGCTCTCCTTACAGCTTTTATTGGATAACAGCTTCCTTCCCACCTGCTAGGCACTGCCAACCAGTTCTGGGAAGCAGACAGTATTATGGCATTACTGCACCCAGGCCCTGCTGGGGGCCCTTCCCCCCGTGGCTCTGCCATCTGACAGGCCCTGGCCTCCCAGCTGCCCTCTGTCGTACCTGCCCTCTGTCTCGTCACAGAACCTGCTTGCGATTCCTTTGGGGATCTTTCAGACTCAAGGTGTTTGCACTTGCTGCCCTCTGTGCCCACCCTGTAGGCTTGTTGTGAGCATTGGAGAAGTTAGCACAAGCACTTTGAAAAATGCCAGGCGCAGAGGGGTCATTTAATGGCTTTTAAAGTGTGGGGATTGACATTTCAAGTTTGTAATATGCTTTCTGATATTCCTACTGATAAAGTTTACATGATAATTTTTCAAGTTTGTTTTCTGAAAATCAGGAATTTGATGAGTCATCTCCCAAGCAACCCACAAACCCGTATGCGTCATCCAAAGCGGCTGCCGAGTGTTTTCTGCAGTCCTACTGGGAACGCTACAAGGTAAGGCGTGGTCTCAGTCACTCTGGAGGCATGTTCCTTTGGACTAAATGTTAAACCCCAAGTCAACATTCATGTTTAGAGTAAAAGACACAAACTGAGGGGGAAATGTCATGTGTTAAAGAATGTGAAAATGGATCTTGTGTATTGTGTGCATAAAGCCCCTCCTAAGGCATAGCTTTAAAATATGCTCTTCCTTTGTCAGTGAGAGGTAGAGTGTTACAACTGTAGTGAGAAATCCTGTTGACATCCTGTGATGGAGCATTAGGGGAAGACAGAGAGAAGACAGGCTCTCTTTGCTGGCCCGTGCTTCCCTCTGCATGATGCAGCTCTCTGGTTCCTCTCGGCAGTAGGGGTGTGGTGAGGTGGGGGTGCAGCAGGGGTTAGTGGGGGTGCGGCGGGGCTGTAGCAGGGGTGCAGCGGGGCTGTAGACTTTCCTTTCTGCTCACTGTAGGAGCCTTCGACCCAGATCCCTTACATTTGGCTCCTCACTGTCTTGGTGAGTTAGCAGGGATGGGTCAGGAAGGCACACCATCAATTTCTTAATGATTTCTTTGCCTTTTGTGTCCCGGTAACACTGTTCTTGTCCCCCTTCATGGAAACTCTTCATTTTTAAGCGTTAAGATAGCGGAGACGTCCCATTTAGAGTTTTGTATCTAAGCAGATGCAGAATCCTAGAGGTGGTGTGTGATGAAGTCAAGTGGGCCGGTCCTGAGTGGTCCACTGCCAGACTCTGCAGCCTGCATCCTCCTACAGTGATCCTCCCCTTGTCCAATGAGACTCTGTCCTCAAGTCCATCCTGTCCAGTATTTCAAGGAGCCTCACATTAGAAAATAATCTCTTAAGGCTTGAAATATGGAATTATCTAGACAGAGATGTTTGTCTTTGAAAATGTACTTATCTTTGAAATACTCAGTATTACCAGGTCTTTCCATTACCTTAACGTTGAATACTCTTGAAGTTTCCAGTTGTTATCACAAGAAGCAGTAACGTGTATGGACCACATCAGTATCCAGAGAAGGTAAATTTCGCTTCTGAATGTGTAGGGGTCTTAGTGACAGTAACATCTCATCATTTAAAATAATTTATCTTGAGTTTTGTTCTAGAATAACTCATGTTTTGTTTATATATAATAATAAAGCACTGCAAAGGCCATATCCAAATTCCATTACTTAGTTGGAGGATTTGAGTTGAAGTCTCAGCCTCACACCAACTGGTGTGACTTTATTTAGGCTGTTTGATGATCATTGTCCTTAAGTTAGTGAAGCTTTTCATTGTCAGTGAAAAGCAGTATGTTCTCCTGGGCCTTAGCACACTGTGGAAGATGCTGACGTCTGCCAGTGCAGCCAGAGCTCTGCGGTTGCAGTCAGACTGACTCATGTCAGCAGACTGGGAGACACAGTGAAAGTGAAAAGCAGCAAGTGACGAAAAGCTGGTGAGACAGAGATGCACAAGGCTTAGACAGTCTGACTTGCTGCCAGCTGTTTTACTGTGCCCCAACTCGTTTTGTTACTGTAGGCTTAAATACCTTCCAGAAACAAGTAAGTAGTGAATAAGGAAATGTAATGAAAAAGTTAAAAATGCCTGCACAGTTGGTTTTGTATCATTAAGTTCAATTTTCCATAACTGTTGCCTGTTCTGCCTAAATTTAGAGCCTGGTTTTCACTTGCCAGCTGGCGGTATCACTCTGTTTGCCCAAGGGAGAGGGCCATAGGATGGATGATGGTATTAATAGCTTTTTGCTTCTTAACACGGTTATTATAAATTTAGTAACTTTTGTAAATTCAAGGAAACTTTTTGTGTAGCTTGCACCAGCATTTAGTAAGTATGTGCTTATATGCAAAGCAATAATAAGATAGGCTTCCCACCTGTCTGAACTCCACACAAAGATAAACTCTGATGAGAAAACAAGCATGAGGGCACCTGCATGTTTCCATGACTGTTTTTTATTTTAGATTATTTATATAAGGTGGTCAACTTATTACAGATTTAGAAATATAATGCTATTTACCACCATGCCCTCCCTCCTGCCCACGTTGCCCACCCACCCTCAAACTCTCTCTTCTTCCTCTTCTTTTTTTTTTCTTAATTTTTTAAAAAGATTTATTTATTTTTGTTACAAAGTCAGATATACAGAGAGGAGGAGAAATAGGGAGGAAGATCTTGCGTCCGATCATTCACTCCCCAAGTGAGTGCAACGGCCGGTGCTATGCCGATCCGCAGTCAGGAGCCAGGAACCTCCTCCAGCTCTCCCATACAGGTGCAGGGTCCCAAGGTTTTGGGCTGCCCTTGACTGCTTTCCCAGGCCACAAGCAGGGAGCTGGATGGGCAGTGGAGCTGCCGGGATTAGAACCGGTGCCTGTATGGGATCCCAGTGCATTCAAGGTGAGAACTTTAGCCTCTAGGCCATGCTGCCGGGCCCCTTTCTTAATTTTTACAATTACATACTTTGAGTTCACTTCACAATTGTAGGCTTTGCTATAAAAATTCAACAAATAACAATTAGAAAAGTAAAGCTGTAAACAGTGATCAAATCTTGACATGCCAATCTAGTTTATGTAGACTACATTTTATTTTGTACTCTGTGTATTAGTTACCACAGATCAGAGAATACATGGTATTTGTCTTTTGGGGACTGGCTTATTCACTAAGCATCATGTTTTATCTTAGGATAACCGCCTCTCTGAACAACAAAACTCTTAGGTTCCTTTTGTTTACTGAAGAGTATGTTTCTCATGGATTCTTAGTAGAAGAATTTAAATTTATCTATTTGTATATTTTTTGATCCTATGCGGAGTTAGGATTCATATTAATGAATTCACTTGCAAAGTCTAAAATAGTATTTAAATATTCTTTTAGGTTATTCCAAAATTCATATCTCTACTTCAGCACAACAGGAAATGGTATGTTGTTATTTCTCTTGGTGCCTTTATGCTTTTCTGGTATGTCTTTGGTGGAACTTGGTGACAGCCTTTCCTGATAATGAGAAACCTGACAGTTTAAGGCCGTGGGCCTCCATGTTTCACCAAATTTAAGAAACTCTTCTTCATGTAGTGTCATGGTTTTCAAAAAGATTATACTGTATAATTCATCATTATAATTTACTTACCAAGATCAATTCAGCTCTTAAATGACCTATCATAGAACTTTGAGCTATAGCATGGGAATTTATGTCTATGTAATTTGACTTTATCAAAGGATGTATTTCATAAAATCAATGAGTAAACATTTCTCAGAGGTCACATGTGTTTGCTAATTCTCACTGAACGTCCTCAGCCAGTGGAGCTAGGAGAGTTTGGGTTTTCAGTCAGAGATTTCCGAACCCTTGAGCATTGACTTTCCTGGAGTTGTGTGGGTTATTGCTTTAGGCTGGTATGGGAGAGGTTTCTCTTTAACATGTCTTGATTCTGCTTTGCTTACTCTTTTTAGCTGCATTCATGGATCAGGGCTTCAAAGAAGAAATTTTCTTTATGCTGCTGATGTAGTAGAAGCATTTCTCACTGTCCTCCAAAAGGGAAAACCAGGAGAAATTTATAACATTGGAACTAATTTTGAAATGTCAGTCGTCCAGCTTGCCAAAGAACTAATACAACTGGTGTGTTATTTCTTCTGTTTCTTTTAGAATTGTGACTAAATTTAGTGTATATCAAGAGTATAGCTTACTTAATTTAAAAGTAAATACGTAGGAAATGAAGTTCATAATGGAGTGTACCATATGTGTCTTGAAGTTGTATCACTTATTCTGCTTAATTAACTTAATATTCTAGTTGTAAAACATACCAGAAAGAAATTATCTCAGTTTCAGAAAAGACGTAATTGTGTGTCCTAGAATCAAGAAGCAGTACTATCCCTGTGTAAAATAAGTATGGTTATGAAGTCTTATTTCAGGGAACATCAGTTATATGTGTAAGAGTTTGCTAGAAGAGGGACCCAGATAGGTAATGAAAAGTTGAGAAAATTCATGTTTTCCTACATTTTATGCATTGTGTATTCTTTCTTAGCCTCAGATGGAATTTAGGTGACAAAAATGAGGCTCACTTTAGCTGTCTCTTACACTTGGAGGCAGTTGTTTTTCTTGTTTTTTTTTAACCAGCTTTGAGTAGCATTGTTATTCTCTGGTCTCATTTTATAGTTTGACTCAAAAACCTTTTCCATTTTGACAGATCAAAGAGACCAATTCAGAGTCTGAAACGGAAAATTGGGTTGATTATGTTAATGATAGGTGAGTAACAAGTTGCAACGGTGGAGAAGGATTGTGAAACCATCAGTAGTTGTAAAACTGTAAATTATATAGACTTACCCGAAATCATCTATCTCTTTCAAATGTTTTGGTAATACATTTCTTTCCTAATTATGAACACCATATGGGTTAGGTAGCACTATTACTTATTATATGTGACTTAAAGAAAGTCATTAACCTTTTCTAAGCCTGAGATTTTCTCCATTGTGAAATAGGGTTAATAGCATCTTGCCTATAAAAGTTTTTCGGGGTTAATTATAATGTATAAAAAGTATGTGACCCAGGTGCTGGCATAGAAAAGTTCTCGTAAAGTTATACGTATTCATGTCTTCATTTATCAGACATTTATGAAGGGCCTTCCGGATGCCATTCACTAATCCTCATACTTAGCTTATGGCTGAAGGAAAGATCCGGATAAGCCACAGGGAGGAGTAGGTGTCAGAAGCTGCAGATTCTTATTTTATTTTGCAAATTTTCTATGACAAGCATGCATGTCATTAGGATATTGTTATGAAAAAAAATTGCATTGTGGTAAAGACCTATTGGTACACATTATGTCTCCTAGTATTTAAGTTTGGACATGTATCCATAATGTCATTTCTGTTCTGTTTTCCAAGACCTACCAATGACATGAGATATCCAATGAAGTCAGAAAAAATACATGGTTTAGGATGGAGACCTAAAGTGCCTTGGGAAGAAGGAATAAAGAAAACAAGTATGTTATAAATTGGTTGTTTTGGGGAAGATTCAGAAAGATTTAAATGAAAAGCAGTTTATTTTTAGAACACTGTACACATTCCATAGAATATTGTGATGAATCATGTGTTGAATACATCCCATATTTCCTAACCATCCTGAATTTTGTAGACTGCCTTCTGGTCAAGTTTTCCTATTTCATTGGTTCTGAGGGCTTTCTTTTCACCTTCTTCGCACCCCTGGGAGATAGGTATTTTATAACCCGTAACGTTTTGGAATTCTCACAGGACCTTTCTTTTTGGCATGTAAAATAATGACCCACATTAGGGTTGGCGCATCTTGGATCTGCTGAAATGTAGCCCGTCTCTGAGCATGTTGAGTTATTGAGGCAAGCTGGTGGGCAGCAAACTCATTATATGCTAATAAATCTGCTAAAGTGTGTGTAAAATCTGCAAGTGTATGTTAAAGTTTTATTTAGAAATGTTTATGAGTAAACAATACCCATATGGAGGGGAAAGAAGCTTTGTTTCAGGCCTTGAAATAGAAAATACTTGTGCTCAACATTTAAAAGGAAAATTAATCTGATAGCTTAAGTGTACTGATAGTTTAGCAACATACAAGAATATATCATTGGAGAGAAATTCATATCATCTGCCTATGCCTCCGGCGCAGTGATATTTTACTCACATGACCACGTATTATACTTTTTTCTAGAAAATAGCTTTAAAAGCAATACAAATGACTTATCTCCTACTTTTAATCCTTTAAATCAGAATGTCTTAATAGTTATACCGGCAAGCTAAGCATTGAAACAAATTTTAAGTTCAAAGAAAAAAAGCAAGGTTGATTTTGAATTCTAAATGTTTCAAATAAGAAAATGTCTTCTGATTAACTTGACTATAAATTTCCAAATCTAATTGCATGTGTCATTCATCAGATAGCCCTCATCTAGTGACTAGTTGTTGGACAAGAGTCTTTGTACTTAGCAGGAACTCAGTAAATGTTAGTTAACTGATGTTTAGTGTTTAATTTTTAATTTTTGTGTTTTTTCTTCACCAGTTGAGTGGTACAGAGAAAATTTTCATAACTGGAAGAATGCGGAAAAGGCATTAGAACCTTTTCCAGTACAGGCATCGTTTATATAACCATGGCAGTTTCCAGACAAACAAGGAAATTATCCTACCTCAAAAAATGCTAACAAACGGAGTGACCAAAATGAATTGTCCTTTCCATCTGGAATTAGATGCCTGGCGTCCGGGTGCAAATCCAGTGCAGGATGTTCCAGTCTTCAGAAGAGTTTCAGCGTTGGCAAGGATTTCAATGTCAAAATGTTTTTTCTGGAGTGTTCTTCCTCTGCAAATGAAGAAGAAGAGACAGAGAAAGACTCTCCCAAGCAGCAGGCCAAGAGTCATCTCCTCTCCTGAGAAAAGATGCAGGTGATGGTGCTGGGCAGGCAGCAGCCTTAATTGGCTGTGAACTCAGTGGCTTCCCTGCCGTTCCCTGGGCCCAGAAAGTCAAGGTTTCATTTGAAGGCAATATAGAGTGTGTCTCATACCCCCATTTACTCTTTTTTAATTTTTAAAACAAGTCTGAAGTTGTGCTATAGTTGCTTTAAATATGAAACATGTATATAGAAAAATGGAAGCATATCTAGCACTTTTGATAATTTTTTAAAATAGAAAAGTTAAATGCTTTTCAAAAGAAGGATATACAATTTTTATATTTTCAGAATCAGGTGTTGACCCACGTATAAAGTGTATTTCAGAACCTTTACCATGTACTAGCTTTTTAAAATGATTTTATTTATTGTCAGTGTTATAATGTATTTAATGTAGAATGCGACTTTCTTAGTAATGTATTTTTATTTTGCCATAAGAAATTTGAAGGGTGGGTGTTGTGGCTGAGTGGGTTAAGCCACTTCTTGGGATGGTTGCATCCTTTATCAGAGGAGCTGGAATTGCGACCCATCTCTCTTCTAATCCAACTTCCTGCCAATGAGACTGGAAGGTAGCAGCCGGTGGGCCCAAGTACTTGAGAGGCCCTAACTCCTTGCTGCAGCCTGGCCCAGCCCAAACTGTTGAGGACACTTTGGGAGTGAACTAGCAAGTGAGAGATCACTCTCTCTGTAGCTTTCCTTTTCTCTCCCTCTCTCCTTTTCTCTGTCTTTCCCTTTGTCACCCTGCCTTGCAAAGAACAGTTTCCAAAAAGAATTAATTTCTAAAAAAAAATTAAATAAATTATGCATTTGCAATCTCTTTTTGTTCTAGAGTATTTTTTGGTAATTTGAAAAATTAACTGATGGGTATTGGATTGATAAAAGGAAATAAGTGAAGTTGCCCTTTCTTAAAGTGTGGATTTTCATTTGAAGGCTTTATAACTCTTCACTCAGATGTCGTAATTCACCTTTTAAATGCAGTTACTGCTCGACACCCATTGCCCTGACTGAAGGGGAGTGGGTGGACAGGTGTGTGCGTTGGATCCTGTGGAAGAGGAGGCCTATAAAGATACAAGAGGGAAGAAACCACAGTATGGTGGTGCTGGCTGTGGCGATGTGGGCAGAAAGACAGCGCTGTTGGGGGAATTACCTGCTGGGCCCTTGAAGATGGAAAGGGCCCAGTGAGGTCAACATACGCTAATGCCCCTGTCGATTTCCTCAAGTAAGAGTTACTGCAGTGGGAGCTCAGCATGCTGCCAGTGGCTAGTTTGTTCCTGGCCCCAAGAACAGGTTTCACTGTGCGGCTCTCTCTATTCCATCCAGGTGTCCATCAGTTTTTGGGTGGCCGATGATTAACAGCTAGCCAGTTAACAGGCTAAGAATTTCCTCTGTTGGATGGAGCAGTGCCTCTGCCACAATGGTTTCTTTCTGCAGGGACTGAGCATGCAAGTGACCTAACTAGAGTCTTAACTGCTCAACCGGGCACTTGCTGTGGAGAATTCTGACACATGCCACGGCATGGGTGATGTGAACGCATTCTCTGCTCAGCAAGCCAGACACAAAAGTGCAAACATGGTCTGTTCCTCGGTTTGCCTGCCTTTCCGCTCTCCGCACACACACCTCTCCCCCTCGGTCTCTGCCCCAGGCAGAGCCTCTTGCTTTTTCCTCTCTCCACTGTCTGACCACAGAAGGTTCACAGCGCGCTCTCCAACCCCCAGCCTCACACCAGCTGAAAGAAAGGTAAACCCGTTTTCCTGTCTCAGTGTTTCCTGTTGAGTTCCTGCAAGGTGTGTAGTTTATTTATTGTTTAGAAAGGCAGGTGTTTGATCCTTACTTTGACACTTCTTTGTAGAAATGTCAGTCTTTGAGGGATTATTTCTTGAACCTTTCTTAGCTTTTTCATAATATTTCTAATACAGCTGTGTTTATAGTTAAACTATATATTCCAACTGACACACCCAATAAACTGTTTTTCTCCATTCCCAATGTAACCTTTCTGTCCATTCAAAAAGCAGCAAACCTCCTTATGTCATCTTCACTTAAGTCAATTTTCGAGGGATGTGAAAGAAACAATGGTGGAGAATGAGAGAAGGAACTCGAATTCTTTTACCTCTAAATTACGGGCAAGTCCTCCAACTAACGTCTGAGGAGCTCTGGGCTTTGCTTTGCTCTTCATTTACTGACTTGGAACGAAAACATTGCTCTCTGGAAGAGTTGTGAGAGTTTAACAGGAAAAGGAAAATACACTCCCAGGTTAAAATGCTGAATACAAGGGACAGAGATGAGAAATGGTAGTTAAAATAGGCCAAATGAGTACATGAGAAACATGTTTTTATTTCTAGAAAAATTTAAACTTTAATCAGTGGCCCTGAAGTTCTGTCCTCTCCAGCCTTTTTTATTAAATAATTAATTTACATTAAAATATAAAGTAATTTTTCTTTGCCAAGAAAACAATACACAAAAAAATTCATCTTAAGTTTTGGATAGTAGGTATCCAATGAAGATCCTGAGTTAATATTTAGAAAATGCACGTTTCCTTTAACTTACTTACAGTTCTTTCTTCAGACGTTTAAGCTCTTACAACATCTCAAATAAAAGCACTCCTTCTCCCTTTACAGATATTTCAGCTCTCATAAAAACGGATAGTTTATCACACAGCTAGAACGAATTCCCTTTAACATTCTCAAGAGTTGAAATTGTGGTTGCCTAAGTTAATGGACTAATCAGACCTTAGTTTTAGATGATGTTACTGCAATATTCTAATTACCGCAATCTGATTTTCGTAGTAATTGTGAAGGTCAAAACTGAAAGCCTGATTCAACATGAAATTAAAACTTAAGAATAAAAGATAAAGAGCACATTTTTTTTATCCCCAACACAGCTCATGATGTATTATCAAGTTGACCTTGTAAAGTTAAAGAAAGATGGGGTTGGGAATCTCTAAGGTAGGGGAAATTTATCCAAAATCCTCGAAGCAACAGAATTTAACTAAATTTTCAATAGAGGTGAGTGTGTATCATGTATTAATTAAATAAAAATGAAATCTATTCATTTGATTTTTATACTTTTGTAAGACTGGCATCTGAATAAAAGCAGAAGGATTTACTTATGGTTTCTGAATCTTTTTCTAATATATGTATTATCAAAGCTTGCAAGAGACTTCCTTTGTTAAGTTCATGTCCTCTGAGTTCGTTGGGTGAATAATCAGGTGTTAAATTGCTGAACATGGAAGGGTGGGAAAATGAGAAAGGGAGACAGGGATAGAGTTGGGAGATTGGCCCAGTTCATTAAAAGAAAGAGGAAAGCAATTAAGCTAAGGAGTGTCCAAAGATCACCTACACTTCTGAAGTTCATGTTCTGGGATCCAAGTTTTCTGGCCTTTAGGCTATTGTGCAGAATCCACATGGCTAGATGCTTGCTTGATGGATGTGGGAGGATTGGATTAGCACATATAAAAAGCCTGGTAGGTTGTTCTTGAGTATAATTTACTTAATTGTTTCTGGCCTGGTGAGTATACCCAGAGGCCTTATATTGATGTATGTGATTCAACAAAAACATAAAACAATAAGGGCTTCATCAACTTGCGGTTTAATAGCCTTAAATAAATTAACTTCTTTTGGGTAATTCAACATGCTAGTGATATTTGCAATCTACTAACTTTTTTAAAAACTTATCCCTTATGTTGGAATCTTATATTTAGCTCTGGAAAAAATGATTTTATATCCACCAAGGGAATGCATTCTTTCCACACACAGAGAACTTAAAAGTGTGAAGGCACACACATGGGTACACACACACAACATCTACAATAGAGAACTGGGCCTCATTGTGTTCCAGTCAGCATACCCAATTATTGTGTTCACTGGCTTTTTATTTTGTTGAACACTTTATTTGCATACTCAGAGTACCCCAATGTTGGTTGATAGGAGACCCTTCAAACACTTCTGTTTCCTTTTGACGTGGCTCTTACATTTTTTTTAAAGATTTATTTTTCATTTCATTTCTTTTTTCTTTTTTTTAAAAAAAGATTTATTTTTATTATTTTTTATTGGAAAGGCGGATATACAGAGAGGAGAGACAGAGAGGAAGATCTTCCGTCCGATGATTCACTCCCCAAGTGAGCCGCAACGGCCGATACTATGCCGATCCAAAGCCAGGAGCCAGGAGCCAGGAGCCAGGAGCCAGGAGCCAGGAGCCAGGAGCCTCTTCCGGGTCTCCCACGCGGGTGCAGGATCCCAAAGCTTTTGGGCCGTCCTCGACTGCTTTCCCAGGCCACAGGCAGGGAGCTGGAAGGGAAGCGGGGCTGCCGGGATTAGAACCGGCGCCCATATGGGATCCTGGGCGTGCAAGGCGAGGACTTAACCACTTGCGCCACCGCGCTGGGCCCTATTTTTCTTTTCTAACAAGATGTTTATTTTATGCATTGAAAAGACAGAGTGGTCAGGGCTGGGCCAGGCCAAAGTCAGGGGTGTAGAACTCCCACATGGTTGACAAGGGGCCGAGTTCGTGGGCCACCCTCCAGTGCTTCCTAGGCACATCAGTAGGATGCTGGAACCTAAGAGAAGCAGCCAGGACTCCACAAGTGCTCAGAGGGGATGCCTGTGTCATGGGCTTTGACTTCAACTGCTGCACCACAATTCCGGCTCCATAACTTTTTCAAATGCTTTTGAGAAATACTGATTAAAATCTATGGCGAGTACAAGATAAAAATAAGTTCTTTGATTTTGGAGCTGTGGGGTATTGCGAGTAAATTTAAGAACTGGATAACAATTGACCATGGTGTGGAAGTATACTAAGTACTCTATATACGGCAGTCTCTTTAGTTTTATTATTTTTGGATCTGCTAGTTTTCATAATTAGTTTTCATAGTTATCATAGGTAATTAGACTGGAGTTGGCCACCATCCTTGGGCTAATTTGGAAGACAGGATTGCAGCCCACGCAGTTGCTTTATCCCCATGGTGTCTTCAGCATCTTATCCTGCCTTTGCCAACTGCTTTATCATCTCTGCCTTCTTCCTGTGACGTGTCTGCACAGAATTTCACTCCATGTTGGCCGTTGGTGCCTGGTCTCCAAATGTTCTCTGACGGCTCACGCCTCTGCAATCTTGCTGAGTAAAGTATAAGTTTTCTTCTGAACTCATTAATAATTTTCATTCACAAACTTTCCCAGCTCACAATGTTATTAATGTCTCAGTAGTTTTTCCCAATGCCCACAGGCAGAAACAAATGGCAAAAAAGTTCCTCTTATGAAGCGCTCAGGCCCAAACAACTTAATAACTACTTCTACCCAACAACTCGGTAGCCATTATGAAAAAAATGATTCACGCAAATCAAAAGAAAAGTTATATTTGCCTTATTCTCAAACAACCACAATTACCAGTAGGATGTGTGTACCTCGGGCAGTGCAGTTTTTCAAACCTTGGAAGAAGACACTGCGATCCTAACTTCCTATTTCCTCCTGGATTTTCACAGGCGCTTCATTTTTATTAGGACTGCTATAAAACCCCAGCTTTGCAAAGAGAGAGTTCCCTGCAAGAATTACAGAGCGGTCTTCCACTGCACTTAAGATTCAGGGGCAGTTTGCTTGGTGTTTCCCTACATGCTGAATATCACTAAAATAGGACGCATTTGCTTGAAAGATGCAAAGAACTCTAGCGCCCCTGTGAGTTCACTGCGGAAAGGGCACTGGCTGTGCAGTGTGGGAACCACGGCAGCAAGCTTCAGAAATGCTCATTCTCTTCTGTAAAACCTCGACAGCAAATATTGTGTTGATGCTGGAAATCTTTATGCTGATAGTGGAGTCCATCGTGTTCACTAAGCTAAGGCTCTTTTTCTCTAAGTGGATAAATTGGATGACGGTATCTTATCTTTTCCAGTTATTCTGGGCACTTCTAAATTGTAACAAGGAGAGGAATCCTACCACCGCGGATAGTGGGACACCACATGTAAGCAAGGGCTGGCTTGAGCACCCCAAGGTGTGTGGCCATTCCACTCATCCGTAACATGTATACCAAAGTTTATATTCCAAAATCAGCCATATTCAACTAATGACCCCTAGTATGGTGTATTTCATCCATTACCCAAACCCTTTCTTTTCCCATTTCTATTGTCACTCTTACTCCCACCAAACCTTACCTGCCACTGAAGAGGGAATACAAAGGCAGGAAACAAGGGCGCCTTGCAATGTGGCTGTGCCAGTGTTTCTGGTCCA